TGGCGCAGAGGCTACTGCTGTCAGTCCTGGCGGCGGTCCTACTGCGGGTGCTGCTGGTGCTGCTGGAGGTACTGCAGCTGGTGGTGCTGTTGGCGCTAGTGCTGCCGCTGGGGGGGCTGGTGCTGTCCGTGCTGTGTCTGGAGTCGCCACGCGGCCTCAGTCGTACTTCGTTCCGCTCCTTCAGCAGGTTCTTGGTCTCCCGCCTTCTACTAGTCCTCCTCCTCCCTTAGAATGTCCACTGCCTGACCCGTCACAGCTACAGTTACAGCCAGCCTCCCCACTGCCTACTCCGTCTCCCTACACTGGTCCTACTGGAGGTCTTGCTGAGCGTCGTGAGCCTGCGTCTCGCCCTGCATCGCCTGTCTGTGCTGCTCGCACTAGTGGTCGCGGTTCGCATCAGCGTCCTCCTCCTGTCCCTGGCACGCACCGGATGTCTCTGCGTCCGTCCACTGCTCCTCTGCGTGCCCCTTTGCCTTCTCCTCCTAAGTCCTCCCTTCCTGCTCTTGCCGACCCGGAGTCGGACTCTCTTCGTGCTGCCAGTCCTACTATCACGCGTCTCCTTGCTACTGTCGTCACTGACCCCTCCTTTGAGTCCGCTTCTGCGTCTGCTCTAGTTGCTGAGCTCATCCACTTTGCTGCTCGCTGTCGTCTAGACTACGCTGCTAGTCTTGTTGCTGAGTCTGCGTCTGTCTGTCCTCCGTCTGTCGGGGGTGAGTGTCCTCTTGGCACGGACGTCCTTGAGGACAGGCAGGAGGAGTTCGAGTGTCTGGCTGCTGCTTCACCTCATCTCATGTCCGTACTGCTTACCCCTGAGGGAGACCCGGATGCACTTGACATCCCGACTCCGCGCTCTTACGCGAAGGCCGTAGAGGGTCCCTACTCCTCTCAGTGGCAGGCAGCTATGGATGCAGAGATGGCTTCTTGGAAGTCCACAGGCACCTACGTTGACGCGGTTCCCCCACCTGGGGTGAACATCGTCAGTGGCATGTGGATCTTCAGGGTGAAGCAGCCGCCAGGTTCTCCACCTGTCTTCAAGGCCCGGTACGTGGCTCGTGGCTTCAGTCAGCGGCAGGGAGTTGACTACTTTCAAATCTTCTCTCCCACCCCGAAGATGACCACTCTTTGGGTGCTGCTGCACATAGCCGCTCAACGCGACTACGAGCTTCACTCTCTTGACTTCAGCACTGCTTTCTTGCAGGGTAGCCTGCACGAGGAGATCTGGCTGCGCCGCCCACCTGGCTTCACTGGGACTTTTCCTCCTGGCACCCAGTGGAGCCTCCGGCGGCCAGTCTACGGTCTCCGCCAGGCCCCGCGTGAGTGGCACGACTCATTGAGGACTACGCTTGCGGCTCTTGGGTTGGCTCCCTCTACTGCCGACCCGTCGCTGTTTCTGCGCACCGACACCTCTTTGCCGCCGTTCTACATCCTCGTGTACGTCGACGACTTGGTCTTTTCCACAGCTGACACTGCTGGACTCGCCCACATGAAGTCCGAGCTGCAGAAGAGACACACGTGCACAGACCTGGGTGAACTGCGCAGCTACCTTGGCTTGCAGATCACCCGGGACAAAGCAGGCCGCACCATTACCGTGACTCAGTCACACATGGTGCAGCAGGTCCTTCAGCGCTTCGACTTCACGTACTCCTTGCCTCAGGCCACTCCTCTGCCTACTCGCCACTCGCTCTCAGCTCTGCCTTCGGATGAGTCCGTAGAGTCGAGTGGCCCGTACCCAGAGCTAGTTGGCTGCCTCATGTACTTGATGACCTGCACACGACCTGACCTTGCATACCCTCTTAGCATTCTTGCATGCTATGTTGCTCCTGGGAGACACAGACCGGAGCACATGGCTGCAGCGAAGAGGGTGTTGCGCTACTTGTGCAGTACGTCGGGCATGGGGCTAGTGCTTGGAGGGTAGAGTCCAGTGGTCCTCACTGGGCACGCAGACGCTTCTTGGGCTGACGGCCAGGCTACACAGCGGTCCTCACAGGGTTACACCTTCAGTCTTGGTTCCGGCTCTATTTCTTGGCGGGCTACTCGCTCGTCTTCCGTTCTCGGCTCCAGTTGTGAGGCTGAGATCTACGCAGGAGCCATGGCTGCACAGGAGCTTCGCTAGCTCACCTACCTGTTGATTGACCTCGGAGAGCCGCCTCGTTCTCCTCCAGTGTTGTACGTAGACAACAAGGCCATGCTGGCCTTTTGTCGGGAGCAGCGCCTGGAGCACAGAACGAAGCACATTGCTCTCCGCTACTTTCTTGCTCGTGAGCTGCAGCAGCGTGTTTAGTTGCAACTTGCGTACGTGGCCTCTGAGGCCAACACTGCTGATATCTTCACTAAGGCACTTGCGCCTTGTGATCATCAGCGCTTCTGTACTCAGCTTGGTCTTGTGCCTGCCTTGCCTCACTTGCTTACTTCTTGACCTTGCTTGTACTGTCACATATATATACTCCTGCTCTTGCTTGTTTAGCCTTCTGCAGCTCGGACTTCACGTAGGCGAGTCCAGCAGTGTCAGCAGTGGCAAAGACCAAGTCGTCGACGTACACGAGGATGTAGAACGGCGGCAAAGAGGTGTCGGTGTGCAGAAACAGCGACGGGTCGACAGTAGAGGGAGCAAACCCAAGAGCCGCAAGTGTAGTCCTCAGTGTGCCGTGCCACTCACGCGGCGCCTGGCAGAGACCGTAGAGTGGCCGTCGGAGGCTCTAGTGGGTACCAGGAGGGAACGACCCAGTGAAGCCAGGTGGGCGGCGCAGCCAGATCTCCTCGTGCAGGCTGCCTTGTAAGAAAGCTGTGCTGAAGTGAAGAGATTGAAGCTCGTAGTCGCGCTGAGCGGCTATGTGCAGCAGCACCCGAAGAGTGGTCATCTTCGGGGTAGGGGAGAAGGTTCGCACCCCCAGGCTCAGCACCCCCAGGCTCCGCACCCCCAGGCTCAGCACCCCCAGGCTCCGCACCCCCAGGCTCAGCACCCCCAGACTCAGCACCCCCAGGCTCCGCACCCCCAGACCCGGCACCCGCAGGCACAGCGCCCTTAGCAGCACCAGAGTAAACAGCTACCTCGACAGGCTCAACTACGTCTACCTGGGACACACCTGACGGGGCAAGACCCTAAGGGGCGAGGGGGTCTACCGGGGGAGGACCTGGCGCAAGGAAGAGGGGCGGCGGGGGGAGGGGCGCAGTGCGGTAGGGGAAGAGACGGTAGTAAGGCACCGACTCGTCAAAGTTGACGTCCTGGGAGGACAGAACACGGCGCGAGGTGGGGTGGTAGAACCGCCAACCAGGCGCGTCAGGGGGGAAGCCTAGGAAGACGCAGGGATCAGCACGGGGGGACAGCTTGTCCGACGACAAGTCGCGGACAAACGCCGGAGATCCCCAGACCCGAAACGCAGACGCATCGCCAACCTTCCTCGTCCACCGCAAGGTGGGGGAGGTCTCTGGCAAGGAGATCTGGGGCTGAAGGTTGAGCTGATGCGCCGCGTACTGAACCGCAAACGGCCACAGAAAATGGGGAGCACCCGCATGGATCATGGACGTACAAGCGACGTCCATGACCATGCCAATGCGGCGCTCAGCAATCCCATTTTGCTGTGGAGAGGCCGGAAGCGTGAAGGTCTGGCGGATGCCCTGTGCACGACAGAAGGCTCCCAGACGGGCAGAGGAAAACTCTCCGCCTATGTCAGAGTGCAGACGCAGAACAGGAAAGTCCGAGCCGAAACTCTCTTTGAGCTGGAGACGAGCTGGGCGGATCCAGTCGATCAACACCTCAATGACGTCACCTTTGCTGCGCAAGGGGAACACCGTGGTGTAAAGCGAGTAGTCCTCAACCACCAATAGGAAGTAACGCTCTTGACCCTTGCCACGGACGCGGGCGGGGCCCCACATGTCCATGTGAAGAGTCTGCAGGGGAGCCTCTGTCGGAGGAAACTCGGAGGAGTGAGGAGCGGCGCGCTGCCGCCCCTCGACGCAGGGGACGCAGGTAGGGGCCGGACCCGGAGGTAGGGGAGGGAGGGACCGGGGAAGACCAGAGACAAGGACACGGGAGGCCATGCCTCGGAGACGAGGCAGGGAGGGGTGACCAAGGCGGTGGTGCCAAAGGAGAGTCTGGTGGGACAGGAGACGACACGAGCAGGGCGCAGAGTCAGGACTAGACCTGGATGCTGCAGCAAACACCTGACTCGACGTCGAGTGGGTACCCGTGGTATCCAGGTAAGTGAAAACACGAACTATCGGAGTCGAGCAGGATTGAGTTAACAATCCCTGCAGCCAACCGTCGTGTAGTCACTAAACCAACCACACCCCTGCCACCAAACTACCCTCGAAAAGCGGGGTGAACTAGGAAAGTAGCTCTGATACCTGGTGTTATGAGTTGTAAAAGAGAGTGCGCAGGTAAACGAATAATGAGACTGTGATTGAACGAACTGAGAATACAATGAATGGGCAGACTAATGTACGGCTAGCCTAGCTGGGAGGAAACCTTGGGCACGCGAGGTTGGGTGCAGGTTTGGCGATGGAAATGCCGAAGGCGACGCGAGGAGCCTCGACAGCGTTGAAATCGGCCGAACGTGCGAACTCCGAAAATCGGGTTGTACGTGAAGCAATCAACCCCGATAAGGAATTCGGGAAAATTCCTTACACAAAATGCGATTCGTAACTTCACTTGTTTCCCAAGTAACCGCGTGTGCCTCGTCACCCCGAGTCGCACACGGAACCGAACCGAATTAGGTGAACCCTCCGCAAGTCCGAATCCCGAACTTTCTCGAACGCGCCTTGGTCTCGAAGCACATTTTTCCCCTCGTCAATCTCATTCTCGATGCTTCTCCTTCTCCTTCTCTCTCCCTCCTAGCACATTTCTTCTCGATTTCTCTCCCGCTTCTCACGCCGTAGCCTCTATTCCCCTCAGTAGGCCGATTTCCACCGTTTCACACACGCGCTTCTACTTCGCCGTCATTCCGCCGTCGTAGATGCTTTCGCCTTAGGTTCCGTGGTTGGGCGAACCAACCCTAACAGCGATGGCGGAGGCGGTCGCAGTTATGCGCGCGAAGAAGAAGGCGGCGGCGAATGGCGAAAGGGAAGCGCCAGTGCTAACGCGGTCGGAGAGTTTGTTGGACGAGAAGTTCGACGTGTATGAGGCGGCCAACTACCGCATGTGGGCTCGATCCAAATCCGAAGCCTTTTCCAGGTGAGCGGACAATCACGTTTGCCTGTGGTTACTACGAATGCAGCATGATGAGCTGGAAATTACGTTGCTTGTGAAGGTTTTGCTACTTATATTGTACTTTTCAAGATTCTTGGTGGTCTTCTTAGTGCCATCATGCTAGTTGCAAGAAAGCACGTGATTGAGCTCCCCGGCGCAGTGATGCCTTTAAGGGAAGTTCCCTTCCGTTCCGCCCATTTCCAACTCTCCCGCCCTCCGCCTCGGCGCTTTAAGGCGCAAGCCGTCGGGGTCTCGCAGCCGCAAGAAGCACGACTTGGATTTCCTCGATAGCCACGGTTTCGCGCCGCAGAATGCGGAGATCATGACACGTGTCGAAGCATCATCTTTCAATCCGTCCGAGGGAGACGAGGGAGACGACGACGATGATGGGAGATTTGGGGGGGATTGCGCGGAGAGCGGAGCGGAGGAAGGGAGAGCTGGCGGAGAGGGTTTGGGGACTGAGGGAGCGCGGGACAGCAGCGGCAACAGCAGCCATAAGGGCGCGGCGGACGACGAGAGGGGGCTGCGCGGCTTCCTGCGGCAGTGCCGCCCGCGGACCTGGCGGGCAAGTAGCACGCGCTCCGACGAGAGCTGCACGGATGGCGCGGAGGGCGCCGGGGGCGGAGAGGGGAAAGCGGCCGCGGCGGGGGCTTTTTGGAAGCGCAGCATGACGGCGGATAGCATGGGGGGGGCCAGCCTGGCGCGGTCGACGAGCGACGCGCTGCAGGACGCGGAGATGGACGAGATGGACAGAGAGGTGCTGCAAGGTGCGCCCAGGTTCAGAGCGGTGCTTGACTGCGGGGCTTACGCACCGCCTGCCGTTCCGCGCCGTTCTTGCTTCTGCTCGTAACCACCTCAGCTCCGCACGGTGTAATCCCAATTTCTCCGGCTCCACCCCCGCCCTTCCTTCCCCCATTTGCGCGCGAGGCAGAGGCGTTCGTGCGCGTGGTGGGGCTGCAGCAGCGCGTGCAGCACTACCGCGACCTGGGCGGGTTCGTGGTGCTCATGGCGCTCTTCATCACCATCCTCTACCTCCAGGCCGACTCCTCCCGCAGCTACGAAATCACCGCTGCGCACGCAGTGCTCTTCCCCCCCGTACGGTCCCCCTCTCCTCCCCGGCGTGCTCTTCCCCACCGTCTTTCTAACTCGCATTCATTCCAGCGCAAAGACAATCTTGCGCGCATTCATTCTAGCATGCCTGCGTTCGTGTGTGATCACTTCAGCTGTGCCCTTGCCTAGCTCCCCACACCTTCATTGCATCTCCTCCTAGTCTCCTCGCCTCACCCTCCTCCGTGCGTGCGTCTCTCCCCACCTGAGAGCAGGGCATGAGCCAGGATTCCGCCAACACATTTGCTGGGCTTGATGACTTTTACAATTGGCTCAACACCAGCATCGTGCAGGTGCGCCCCCCTCCCTCCCTCTCCACTTCATCTCGCATCTTCGTTCTTGCCGCACCTGCGGCGTGTTGCCTCCTCCTGCTCCCCAAGCCTGCTCTTCACTCTCCATGCAGCACCACAGCTCTCCCTTGCACGCATCAAAGCACATACACTCATCCTCCCGTCCGTCTGCTCCTCTCCTCACTGTCCCTCCCTCTCCTCTCCCCGCCGCCCCTGCAGAGTCTGTGGGCGGACCCCACATGTGGAGACGGCTCGTGCGACCGCCCCTTCCAGTTCCCCGCGTTTGGCCGCTTTGGTTGTGAGGCGGACTGCGGCACGTTCCCCAACCTCACCACCGTAGTTGTCAGATTCTCCTCCCACCTCGACACACAGCAGGCCGTCGACGGCTCTTCCTGGAACCTCTGCATGGTTGACCCCGTCTCCCTCTGCTGGTATGCTCGCCCTCTGCTGCACACCAAACCTTAGCCGCATGCACGCGCCCTTCCCGGCTCCTCTGCTCGTCTTGCCGCCTCGTCCTGTGTACTCTTCCCATCCTATCCCATCCCATCCCATCCCATCCCATCCCATCCCATCCCATCCCATCCCATCCCATCCCATCCCATCCCATCCCATCCCATCCCAACCCATCCCATCCCATCCCATCCCATCCCATCCCATCCCATCCCATCCCAACCCATCCCATCCCATCCCATCTCATCCCATCCCATCCCATCCCATCCCATCCCATCCCATCCCATCCCATCCCATCCCATCCCATCCCATCCCATCCCATCCCATCCCATCCCATCCCATCCCATCCCATCCCATCCCATCCCATCCCATCCCATCCCATCCCATCCCATCCCATCCCATCCCATCCCATCCCATCCCATCCCATCCCATCCCATCCCATCCCATCCCATCCCATCCCATCCCATCCCATCCCATCCCATCCCATCCCATCCCATCCCATCCCATCCCATCCCATCCCATCCCATCCCATCCCATCCCATCCCATCCCATCCCATCCCATCCCATCCCAACCCATCCCATCCCATCCCATCCCATCCCATCCCATCCCATCCCATCCCATCCCATCCCATCCCATCCCATCCCATCCCATCCCATCCCATCCCATCCCATCCCATCCCACCTCACCTCACCCCACCCCACCCAACCCCACCCTGCGACACCCCATGCGTGGTGCCCATGCGGGTGAATCAGGTACGAGTCATTTCAGCCATTTCCACGCGGCGAGGCAGAGGTGTCAGTGGCGTTGGACATTCCGGACGGCGACTGGGTGGTGGTGCTCAACGCTCCTGCAGGGGGCATCCGCGGTAATGTGCACGCGCCCCCTCCAGGCACACAGCGCCTCGCCGTCGTCGGTGCGGCCTCCACTATCGAGCTCGCCGCCTGGGGGTCCTGCGCGCTCGAAGATGACGTGGACGCAGCCAATCAGACGCAGCCAGGTGGCGGCGTTGCTGGTGCTGCGCCTGACATCTGTCGCGATGTGAGCATGCCGTTGCTCGATGTGCTACCTCTGTAGGATATGCTCAAATTTCTCATGCCGCGCGTGGAATGTATGCACCCGTGCATGCATGCATGTGTGTGTTCGTGTGTGCAGACGTGTGCAAGGCTGGTGGCCTGCCTGCCAGCAACCTGTGGGCGAGCATTCACGGAGAGGGAGGTGGCAGGGGCGTTCGTGGACTGTGCGCGCATGTGCATCGTCGCACCCTCCTCCATCACCACCTTTGCCAGCTCTCCCTGCCCCATGGTGCGCTCCCTGCCCCATGGTGCGCTCCCTGCCCCATGGTGCGCTCCCTGCCCCATGCTGCGCTCCCTGCCCCATGCTGCGCTCCCTGCCCCATGGTGGGCTCCCTGCCCCATGGTGCGCCCCCTGCCCCATGGTGTGCTCCCTGCCCCATGGTGCGCTCCCTGCCCCATGGTGCACACCGTGATTCCTATACATGTAGCCCATTGCGTTTCTTCTTCCTCTCTGCCCCGTCCTCAGCCCACTTTTCCTGTCTCTCCCTCTCTCCTGCCTGCCACACAAATCTTCTTCCAATGCTCCTTCACCCACCCACCCACCCTCTCCAGCCGGAGATCGCATCATTGTTCGCCAACACACCATGCAACGTCTCAGGTATGCACCACCTGCATGAGCCAGCATCCCATGCTCCTCATCGTGTGCCTCCTTCCATACTTGCCACATTCACGCCCCCTTAAGTGTGTTCCTCTCACCGATCATAAATGTGTTTCCACGTGATCTCTCCGTGCCTCTCCCTGCTCTGCTGACACGTTCTATCTAATTGACTGCCCCTCCCCTCCCCGCACGCTGCTACCACCCCCCCCACTAAATCCCACTTCTCTGTCCCATCCCAGGTTCAGACGCAACGGCTCGTTTGCCTCAAAGCAGCCGCCGCAAGGTGATGCCATCCCCACTTCGTGCCATCCCTCTGTGTGTGATTCACTTGTTATCCCTCAGACTGGGTTCCCGTTTTGTGAGTGTGGTTTTTGACTGCTTGCTCTCACTCTGCCCTCGCACCACCGTTTGCCCCTGCAATCACCTCGCTTCACATATTTGCACTGCCACCCTGCCTTTTCGAACCTCTCCTTCCCAACCGCTCTCCTTCTCTCTCCTTCTCTCAGGCGGTCTACCGCTTCCACCACTCTCACAGCTATGAGCGCTGGCCTGTCTCAACTGCCACTGGGCCCCCTGATGCCTCCTCCCCGCCCGCTGCTGCTGGAGTGCACGCTCTTGCTGCCCCTGCTGCCTCCTCTTCTGCTGCGTCCGCCTCTGGTGCTGCCACAACATTCGCAGAAGTGCAGCAGCAGGAAGCACAGTGGCCTGAAGTGACACTAGCGTCAGCACCACCGTCACCAGCAGCAGAAACAGCAGCAGGTTCACCAGCAGCAGCAGTATCAACTGCGATGGCAGCAGAAGGAACGGCAGCTGCAGCAGACCCCACAGAGCCCTCCCTGTGGTCGCTCCTGGGTTCCACAGACCAGCAGCGACTGACAGTGCTGCAGGTGGCGGTGTCGCGAGCCCTCTTCACCATGGCCAAGGACCGCTGCCTGGCCGGCCACGGACCCGGATCAAAGCGATCACACACACTGGGAGGGCCGGGCAGCGTGCGCTGGCATGTGGTGGCCACCCTGTGCACCATTCTGGGGGGCCCTGTGACGACCATGGATGAGTGCCGCATGTATGGTGCGGACGGGAAGCAGGTGATGACGCTGGCGGACATGTATGCATACCTCAAGTACCGGCATACCGGGCATGTCATCTCGGCGCAGCACATGGTGCGGTGGGTGCAGACGGTGGCGGCGGCTGTGAGCTCGGTGACGCCCGTGCCGGATGTGGCAGCGGCGCGACTGAACGCGCTCATGCACTCCTTCAATGATGCCATCATTTCGTCCAACGCTGTCGGCTGCTCGCAAGGTGCTCATGGCCGCTGGTCCTGGTGGTGGTTGGATGCATGAGACATGTGCAGTGCATGTGCATCTGCACGTGCATGTGGATGCAATGTGTGTGTATGTGTTTAAGTCTTCCTGTCACCTTGGCACCTCAGACGGATCATATTTAAAAATCTGGCAATTCCTCCCCGTGCTGTCTCCCTTCAGGTGGAGCGTGGCTGCAGTGGCGGGTGGGTGTGAAGCACAACACGACCATCCATGTGGGCGACAAGGTCACGTGGTTGTGGGATGACGACCTCCCACACTCCCTCAAAGGTACGCCCTTTCCTCTTTGTAGCTTTACCACCTTCCTTGATGCCACTAGCTCCTGTGCACAACCATGTTTTTACTACCCTTGAAAGGAAACGAGTGCCGACGCCATGCCTTTGCTTATAATCTTGATTGAAGCTATCTTTCTCCCACTCTACTCCACGGTACTGCCTTTCCCTTATTTGCCTGCATTCCTTATTCCCCAATGCTCTCTTGCTGCACTGCCACCACCATCAGTGGCGGGGATGGGGGAGGTGGACGACCCGCTGTTTCTGGGCTTCGGAGGCCACCGATTGGCCGTGTCGCGCAAGCTGGCGTGCACTCCCCTGAACGTGGGCAATGGGGACGCCTTTGACGAGCCCATGCCATGCGTGCTCAGTGAGTGGTGGGGGGGGGTGCACTGCACACTCTCTCCTCGTGCAACCAACCAAGGATGAACTAAGCAAAGGAAAAAAGATTGCTCCAGCACCTTTTATTTGGCCCTGACAGAGGGACGCGATTGACGGTCAGAGAGCCCTTCGTCCAATCCTGGAGCGTCCAGCCGATCTTAGAGTGACTTTTGAGAATTCTCAAAAGTCACTCCAATATAGCTGGCCTACAAATCCCTCCGGTTCTGGTGTGTTGGAAGTTACCTACACGGTTACAAAACCGTTTGGTTAGGGCTCGCTTTTCTACAGCGAATCCCATTACAGCGGACTCACCTACTGTTTTGCGGTGAAGTTCCCTTGGGCCTTCGGGAATTTCTCGAGTGGTCCCATGCTGATCCAAGTTGGTAGCCTTGTATGGTTCGGGCAGATTTCGCCTGGGTAGTGGTTAGATATAGGGAATTTGGGGGGTTGAGAGGATAACGGGAAGAAATGGTAGATATGGGACTAGAAGGGTCTTGTTTGTAATTCTAACTGGCGCTGATGAAGGCCTCACAGGCCGAAACGCGTACGCCTACTTAGTACTTTTACTATGAGACTTATCAAGTCCTCATTCATACCTTTTTCCGAGTCCTACGAAGCAACCCACCCATACTTAGCTGAAAGTTTCAACAGCGACCACACGGCTTGCTTCGTTTCGAATCCTTCATTAGGGTGCGTCAGATCCGCTACAATGTGATTTGGCTGCAAATTTGTCGCCCTTTTGGTCGACTCCTTTTTTCGCCAAAGTCGACCGAATGGTCGAATGCTAAACCGACCACCATCTAGCCACATTTACAAGGTGTTGAAATCTGACAGATTTGGTGGCCGATTTACAGGCCGGTTTGCAAAAGTGTCAGATTTGCAGGTCGCACAGTTGGCCGAATTGTGCGACGGAGTCGCACGTATTGTTACTGAAGTAACACAACCGCTATTGTGTGCACTACGATCAGAGAGTCAAGATGTGAGCTGCGGCTCCATTTACAACCTGGCTCGGCAAGATCGTGTCGTCTACCCGAACTGAGTGTGACGAGAGCATACAAAAACCGGAACGTCCCTACACTATACCCTTTATATAACATGGCGGATCCTTTCACACCCAGATGGGCACGACGTTTAGCAATCGGACTCACACACGTCGTGCTCATCCCCTTGGTCGCTGCAGTCGGTGTCATGGTGCCCTTGCTCCTTGACTTTGCTGACGAGAGCGATTACCAGGTGTTCTGGCGAAATGACCGAAGTATTCAACGAGCGCGTTGGATGGAGCGCTTCTTGCACATGTCCCCAGACCACCTATACGAAACACTGCGAGTTGATCGTGACGTATTCGGTTACCTCTGCCGCGTCTGGTCTGAACACCTCATCAGCACTGGCAAACATGCATGCAAGGTGGCTCTCCAAGTAGCTCTTGTGCTCCTTCGCTTCGAAAGCGGTCTGTTCAACGGCGCTGAAAGCGCCGTGCGAGTCGTCCTTGTGACACGTTGAGTCACTTGGGTATGTTGGCCAAGTCGCATATGTACTGTATCGCTGACGAGTCGACAAAGTGGTCGACTCTCGATTCGTTTGCACGTCGGAAAGTTGTCGACCGCTAAACCGGCCATCAAACCGGCCATCAAAATTTTAGCAAGTGGCCGGATTGTGCGAAATTCACAAAATACCTTACGAATGTCGTGAATGTGTAATCTTCGCTAGATCCGGCCGGCCGGATTGATCCGGCCAACGGATCTGACGCACCCTTAGTCCGCATGCACACATGGCTGTCCTGTCACATGCACCATCTCATCCTGCTTCCACATCCTCACAGCCATTCCTCCTCCCACTGACCCCCACTGCTGGTCCTCCCTCCCACCAGAAATTGACGACGGGGCCCCCGGCTCGTTCGCGTACAGCAAGGTGTTTGAGGAGCCAATCACGATCCACTACGAGGACGGCACGCTCTCTGTCGACGACTCCTCTTCCTCCTCCTCGCCTGCCACCTCTGCCGCGTCGCTTCTCACTGTGCTGCCTGCACGAGCAGGAGCTGAGGTTGCTGGTGAGCTCTCTGCATGAAAAACATATGCCATACCGAATGTCATGCTGCATGCTAATACTATGTTGCGCGCTATGCTTTGTGCGATGCGACACTGCATGCCACTCTGCATTTGTAACTCTATTTCATGCCTCATCCCCCTCCCGTTTATTATTCTTCTCTTTTACACTCACCATTCCCTCTTGCTCATCCCGCTTGTGCATGCACTGCATGCATAGCAGGTGGTGTGAATGCCACGGACAGCACCACTCTCTCGAGCACTGCACGTTTCACTTCAACCAACACCTCCATCGCTGGCACCACCAACACCACCACTGCGGCAACCTACGAGTGCTCGCCGGGGTGCCGGCTGCAGCGGCTGGCGAACGGGGTGTGCGATGCGGCGTGCAACACGCCCGCGTGCGCCTTTGACGGTGGCGACTGCGCGTGTGTCGACCCGCTCTTTGGCCCCGGCATCTGCCCCTGCCCGCCCGGCCACACCCGCCGCGACGACGGCTGTCAGTCATCCCTCTTCTCCCCTCCGCTCGGCCCTCTCGCCCACTGCCTTGCTCTTCCATCCCCTGCCCGCCCTTCCGTTCTCGATTCACTTCTACTCGCTTACTTACTTGCACTTCCTTCCTGTATTTCCTTGACCTCCCGTCCCTGCTGATCTCTCTTCCTCAAGCCACTCCTCTTCCTCCTCCCCTCCCCTCCCCCTCCCTCCCTCCCCTTCCCCAGCCTGCTGTCTATCCACGGCGGTGGGCGCCAATCTCAACTTCCCCTTCTCACTGCAGCGCTACGGCCCCAACTACACAGAGAGCAACTTTGCTTTTGCTGCCGAGAGGGGTTTTGCTGCCACCCGCTTCGTCTCACACCGCAACCGGTATGCCCCTGTGCTTCCTCACACACAGCATTCATCAGGTCGCGTACACCTCTCGGTTATAGTATCACACCGTTTCGCACCACTGTCAACCGTGTCGTCCCGCACTGCAACCGGAACGCGCCATGCCGCACCACGCAGTACCGCATTGTTCTGTCAGCTTCCATTCTCCCACCAGAGCCTATGATCCGTTCGCCACCACAATGAGCTTCTAACCCTTCTCTTCCATTCCCCCCTTCCCCCTCTCCCCTTCTTCTCCATGGCAGTCTGCTGATTGGCTTGGTGCTGCAGCAGGATCGCTGGGGCACGCAACAGTGCAACGGATCGGGGTGAGTGGCCCTGGGGAATGGGGTGAGTGGTGAGGTGTGACATGCCAGGCTTTCATGATACTTGTCTGATCCTGTCTCTGCGTGTGCAGCCACCAGTTTCTCCTCATTCCTCCCTTCCTCACACCTGCACCCTCTCGTTCTCCCTTCCACCAACTCTGCTTCCTCCCTCCTAACCCCTCCCAGCCTGCTGCACCTGGCGGGGTGGTGCAGCAACGGCACATCCAGAGAGCCATTTGGGGTGAACCCGCACTTCCTGCCCACGTCGGCCATCTACGACAGCGCTGCCAGCGCCAACATGAGCCAGTTCGACAACAACACCCTCAATCCGCAGAACCTCCCCTACGGATTCATCTACCCCGTGGTCAGTTACCCATGGCATGGCCCCTTCATATATCTCTGCTCTGTAAATCCTGCCTCTGATTTATCTTGTAAATGCTGAATTCTTCTGTGCACCCTTGTGTCTACAGGACTCCCTCACGGTCTACCCGCTTGTGTTTGACATCAATCTTGACTACGAGGCGGCCATGCGTCGCCTGCACTACCTGGTGGATGGAAGCTATATTGACAATGGCACTCGCACTGTCGACGTCAGCTTCATCAGTTTCAACGGTACTTAATTTTGAAGTTGTTTTAGACCAATTACGGTGAATTTTCTGGTGAATGCCAAATGGATGTGTGTTTTTTCTCTTTTATCGGGCTTCACTGCTCTGCCCCTCCCCTTCTCTCTCCGTCTCATGCGTCCACCACCTTCGCCCACGTTGCCAGGCGAGACGCTCACGTTTGTGCTCACAACTGTTAGTTGCAAAGTCACAACGGGCGGCAGCATGGCAGTATCGATCAAGTCACAGCCAGCAGCCATGGCGATGTACGATGCATCGGCGGACAACATCGCACGGCTGGTGCTGGAGGTGGTGTATCTGGTGGGGCTGCTCTGGAATGTGTGTGGCGAGCTGCAGGAGATGGCCGACCGCGCCGCGATTCACGGCTCTGTGCTCAGCTATTTCAGCCTCGTGTGGAACTGGGTCGACATGCTCTCTCTCACACTGCAAGTGACCGCAGTTGTTATCTGGTAAGAAACCAGCTAAGGTGCGGCAATAGTAGCCATTGTCGTGCAATGTATGCGGCTCCGATCTCACCGTTCATCTGTCCACTCCAGATGCCCGAATTCCCCTCCCTACACATGCGCACGTGTGTGTGTCGGTGTGCTCAGGGTGGTGCTGTGGCGGTACGTGGAAGCATTTGACATGCAGCCACGATACGACATCTACTACACGCTGCTCGAGATGCCGCGCTACTGGGCCGTGCCCAACCCGCCCACGGGCTTCATCAGCGCCACTCAGGCCTTCGCTGATCTGCGCAACATCATCAACCTCCGTGGCATCTACTTTTCCCTCCAGGGCATCAAGTGAGTGAGCCGCCTACGCGTGTGTGCGTGTGTTGACTCCCTTTTCTATCAGTAAAAAACAACTTAATCTTTTGGCTTGGCTCGTTTTCTCATGTCTAGCTGTCGATCACCCATTGATGATCCATCCCGAATCAACCACACTCTTTCTTTTGCCCCGCCTAATTCCCTTCCCTGCTCCCTGTTCCTCCCCAGTCTCTTTTTCATGATGATTCGCCTACTCAAGGTGATGGACTTCCAGCCTTACCTTGGAGTCATCACTCGCTCCCTCGCCCTCGCCACGCCCTCCCTGATGCACTTCTTCCTGCTCTCCTTTACGGTCTTCTTCTGCTTCAGCATGTACGCCTACCTTGTCTTCGGAGGAGCACTTGAGATGGTATGTGTGGGGCTCATTTCTTACCTTTTTTTTTAAGAATGTGTCGCGTCACCCTTTTTTTTCTTTTGCTTGAGCACAACTTTGTGTTCAAGTTTACCAAGTTCGTGCGTGCGTGTGTGTGTTTATGTATTCATTCATTCATTCATACATACATTCATTCATTCATTCGTTCGTTCGTTCGTTCGTTCGTTCGTTCGTTCGTTCGTCCGTCCGTCCGTCCGTCCGTCCGTCCGTCCGTCCGTCCGTCCGTCCGTCCGTCCATCCGTCCGTCCGTCCGTTCGTTCGTCCGTCCGTTCGTTCGTTCGTTCGTTCGTTCATTCATTCATTCGTTTACTTGTTATTATTTTAATTAATATTACTATAATTATTATTATTCTTATCATTATTATTCTCATCATTAGTATTCTAATCATCATTGTTATTATTACTATTACTATTACTATTAGTATTACTATTATTATTATTAATATCATCTTCATCATCATTGAGAACTTCTACCCCCCTCCCCTGCCTCCCCCTTCCGCCCTATGCAGTTCTCCACGGTCCTGGAGTCTATGTTCTCGTGCTTCCTGCTGCTTCTCAATGACAACGGCTCCGCCTACTTTTTTCAACGAATGGAGTCGTGGGACCTCATAGCTGCGATGCTCTTCTTCTTCATGTTCATTGTCTTCATGGTCTTCATCCTCCTCAACTTCCTCATCGCCATCATCGTCGATGCCTTCATGAGCGTCAAGGACAGCAACCTTGTCGCCACCTCTATAGTCGCTGACCTCGCTCACATCTTCAAGTACAAGTGGAACTGCTGGCACGGCCGCTACTTGCCGTATCCGCTCATTCTTGACCGCCTTGTGGAGTTGGGCGCTAAGGACACTCGAGTAGACGAGGTGAGAGCTGGGAACCAACCTCACACGCTTGGGCAAGATCAGGGGGCGAAAAACTGGTCAATTATGACCTTTCACTGAATGGCCCATCCGCCATTCATGCAGTACCAGTGTGCGTGTCCACCGGTTTGGACACCGGGTCGGCTGTAGGCACGTGCGGCGCACTTTTACACTGTGCATGTCTAGTGGAGCCCTCACACACAAACTTTTGTGGCTGGTCAATCCAACAATAACTGGCACAATACGTTCTTGACCTCTTGACCGTTCTTGACTGACCTCAATCCAGCAATCCCTCTTGCAATCGGATCGGCGGATGCGTCGCATGCAGTCAATGAAGGGCCGCACGCGAGCCATCTTCTCCTGCAGCTGTGGCGGCGGATGCAAGCCCGCGCACCTCGATTGCGCCGAGAACCACCCCACCTTCCCGTCCGCCAGCCAGACTGGCGAGCGGCTGCAGCACGTGCTGACAGTGAGGGAGAAGCGCATCGACGTCATCTCACTCTCCATGATCCTGCAGCGCCGCCAGGACAGGGAGGTGCGTTCTTGCTGGCGTGGTTGTCGGCATGAGTACTTGGGCGTGCCATGTGTCGTGGCATGCAATGCGGTTCTGCTATGGCATATGTTGTACGTTGTGCCAAGCCATGTGGGTGTGCCAGGGCATATGTTTCGCCATGTGTTTGGCCATGCGCTGTGGCAAGCCATGTATTGTGACATGCAGGCATAGTAAATGTGATGTGCCGACTTCTATGCATGACGTTCTCACAATCAATCTGCCCCGCCCGCACATCTCTCTCTTCACCACTCTCACCGTGTTTCACTATCTTTCCTCAGCGAGTGGGGCCGTACAAGGCTGAGTCACCGTACAAGTGTTTTCCAAGGGCAGCCTCAAGAGAGTGTGCGGACGACGAGCAGTTGGATCAGCTGTCGCAGGCGGTGGTGCTGCAGTGCGGCGAGGTGGTGAAGCAGGCCGCTCTGCCCGTCAAGAAGAGTGCAAAGAAGCTCAGCCTCGCTCACCTCAAGGTGCGGAAGGAAAAGGGTGCGGGGGTGTGTTGCGAATATGCGCGAGGGAGAATGCTAACACGGTCGGGGTTGCAGTGATTGGCCGAGGAATGAAAAGCGCCCGCAATCAACCGTCCAGGCTTCCTATCCCAGCCATGCGTTCTTACGACTCCTTCCCAACATCCCTTCATCCTCCCCCACCCCAACACCCTCCATCCTTTGCCTGTGAGAGCAGGAGGATCTGGCGCGCAGCGAGGCGAAGGTGGAGGAGCTGAGTGCCATGATGACGGACATGCACGCACTCATGCTCGACCTCCTCGCCCGCACGCCCCCGCTAGGCAACACTGCCCACTCTCCGGGTACGCCCGGGGGGCTGCCAGCATTGTCAAGCATGCCGCGTGCCTACACGGAGCCCCCGCGGCGTCTCATGTCCCTCGCAGACTCCCCGCCGCCACTGGAGCAAGCAGGCAGCAGGAGAGAGGTGCTTAGGAGGTTCAGTGAGAGTGGGGGCGGTGGGGGCCCAGATGAGGGAGAGAAAAGAGCGGGGGCGACAAGAGATGGTTGGAGCCCTGCAGGAGGGAGCTCGAGCAGAACCCCGGTGCAGGTGTCACCAAGGCTCAGCGAGAGTGGGACCGGTGGGGAGGCATTCAGGGGAGAGAAAAGGGTGGGGGGTGCTAGAGATAGTCCGAGCAGTGCAGGAGGGAGCTCGAGCAGAACCCCGGTGCAGGCGTCACGAGTGTTGGGCAGGCGGGTGTCGTGGCAAGATGGCAGAGGGGCGGCGGGTGGGGAAAGGACAGAAGGGTGGCAGACAGGCCCTACGATATCAGGAATTTTTCCCTGAAATTCCTGATTTCCAGGGTTTTTTTTTAACCTACACTGATTTTCCAGTGTTCAGCTTATTGTGGGGCTGATTTTTCAGCCTTCACCTAGCACATGACTCTGAACTTTCAGCAATTTGTTATAGTGACACTGATTCCACTATGTTGTAACGAATCCGACCCTGAAAGCGATTCCTACACGGTTCGTGTGTAGTTGCCCGGCTCTACAGGGAATATCAGATTCCCGCGGTGTCAGCAAGGCGTGGCGGTGAGTAGCAGACAAATTTGCCTCGTAGAGAGATGCGTTGTTGGCGCACGTGGTGCAATGATTGGCCACTTAGACAGAATTTCCTGATTTGGCCAATTACAGGGTTGCAGCACTGCGATGCTGGCAGGCAGCGCAACGAGGGATTCAGGCCCATGTGAAGCACCTGTGGTCCTCTGGCCCGTTTTGTCTAAGCGGTCCTGGCAAGCACGGATGCATCCACGCCGCCCAGCCGTGCTGGCAGCCATCCAGTCTCCCACCCAAGTCTGCTCCATGCTTTCCTTCCATCTAGCAAAGGTAAGGTTTCATCGCGTTGCTGCCTGGTGTACCAAGAGGCAGTCAGCCGTGTGTCCTCTCTTCCTGGCAAACCTCCATCGTTCAGCTAGCTAGGGAGTCCCGTTAGATGTTGCTTGTTCACAGCGCAATCAATGGCGGACCACCCGGACGCCATTGAACGACCTGATGACCCCGGCGATGAACCCGCTCGTCGTTCGCCAATTGATCTGTCTGCGGCCGTTACCGGGCTGGATCTGCTATTCTCCAACTTAGCGGCAGTAGATAACCATGGAAAGGCGCCTGCAGTCGCGCCGACTGTCGATGTTCCATTTGAACCCATCGACGAGCCTCTGTGTCCCTCCCCTACTGCGCCCGTGTTGGAGCAAGACAGCTCCAACCCTTCAGGTGAAGAAATCGTGGCGGTGCCAGTGGCTAAGAAGTCCGCCAGGTACACGCAGTCAACGCTGCCGTGGCCCAAGAAGGGAGGTCCCGCTGGTGCAATACCGGCTTCGCCAGCCGACCAACTGTCGACGCTCGCGACCGCAAGCACGCAGGCGTCGCCCTCAACACCTGGGCCTTCTAAATCGGCAGGGCCAGACGCAACCTACGCGGAGGCTCTGTATAAGTACAAAAGCGAGTGGCTCGAGTGGTTTTCTTGGCTTATTCTGCTAAAAAAAGCTGACGGTTTCCCCGCTTTCACGTGCAGCATCTGTACAGAGCACGCAGGCTACGCTGGACCGTGTGGGACTGGCTACCCCAATCTGGTGCGTCTCTGGGTGGCTGGCTACCCCAATCTGGTGCGGCTCTGGGTGGCTGTCGCCGTGCTGCCGCTGAGCACAGTGGAGTGTGAGCGCGGCTTCTCACGCCAAAACGTTATCAAATCGTGGCAGCGGGGGAGCTTGAAGGACGCCCGCCTCGAAGACCTCGTCACCATGTCTCTACTCGAGTACGAGCCCAACTACGATGAGGTGGTGCAGATCTGGCGCAGCTACAAGAAGCGCCGCCCATTCGTCAATGTGGCGGCACCACCCGAAAGAGAGGGAGAAGGCAGGGATAGCACGGGAAAGGAGGCCCTAGAGCAGGCCTCTCGTTATCAGGGTAAAATACCCTTTTTGCACTGACTGGCGGCCGCTTTTTTTCAGTTACCCTTTCACAGGCAGGGTAGTGGAATTTTTACCCTAGGCCAGAAAGTGTAAGTTTTTCAATACCCTTTGAAAAACAGCATAAGGAACACATTACTCTGACTGTACAGTGTACAATCCAAGCTACACTGGTACTGAGTGCTCTGTAGCGAGACGAAACACTATACAGGTCCCTGCAAAACGATACCAATGCGAGATTTGAAGTTGCGACCTTACAGATCTAATGCGCAATTGAACGAGGTGAACTACTAGCCATTGATAACGAGTGCTTCGGGACTTGAACTTAGCACAAGTTTTTAAGGATACCCTGCCCAAACAGACTAACTGTTTTTTTACCCTGCATTTGTTAGGGAAACAAAAAATTTAACCTACACATTAGGGTTGACTATACCTAAAACCCTGATTACTAAGGGTGGCCCAAAACGAATCTGAAGCCCTGCCCTAGAGGAGGAAGAGTGGGCAGAACGACAGGCTAAGGGAAGAGAAGATGATGATGACGAGCAGGCCTCATCAGATGATGATTACTGAACTCACTCAGACCTAGAGTCATGCTGGATGCAATGCATAGCTAGCTAGCAAGCAAGATATGCTTTGGTTTACAACACAGATAGATAGATTGAAGGCTGTTTGGGACTTTCATAGAGTTTTAAGTTAAAAAAATCAGCTTCACTACCGTACTATCAGCCTCTTTCTATAGGTGACAATGATGCATCAGACTTTTTTTTTAAGTAACACTGAACTTTCAGGCTTTTTTCCTAGGCGACCCTGTCGATCAGGGTCTAGGGCCAGAGGGACCCTGATACCCTTACGTGCCTCAAAGTGGATCTGAGGGCCTGGTGGCAGAAGCAGCCCTCGGTGCGAGTGAAGGGTTGTGTGTATTGCACGAAATTGACTTTGGCTTGGACCTGCATGTAACCATTACTAACAGTCTCGCATTATAACAGCTCACTATACTAAAGGGTACAAACAGCTCACCGTCAATGCATGCCTTTGACGGTGGCGACTGCGCGTGTGTCGACCCGCTCTTTGGCCCCGGCATCTGCCCCTGCCCGCCCGGCCACACCCGTCGCGACGACGGCTGTGAGTCATCCCTCTTCTCCCCTCCTCTCGGCCCTCTCGCCCACTGCCTTGCTCTTCCATCCCCTGCCCGCCCTTCCGTTCTCGATTCACTTCTACTCGCTTACTTACTTGCACTTCCTTCCTGTACTTCCTTGACCTCCCGTCCCTGCTGATCTCTCTTCCTCAAGCCACTCCTCTTCCTCCTCCCCTCCCCTCCCCCTCCCTCCCTCCCCTTCCCCAGCCTGCTGTCTATCCACGGCGGTGGGCGCCAATCTCAACTTCCCCTTCTCACTGCAGCGCTACGGCCCCAACTACACAGAGAGCAACTTTGCTTTTGCTGCCGAGAGGGGTTTTGCTGCCACCCGCTTCGTCTCACACCGCAACCGGTATGCCCCTGTGCTTCCTCACACACAGCATTCATCAGGTCGCGTACACCTCTCGGTTATAGTATCACACCGTTTCGCACCACTGTCAACCGTGTCGTCCCGCACTGCAACCGGAACGCGCCATGCCGCACCACGCAGTACCGCATTGTTCTGTCAGCTTCCATTCTCCCACCAGAGCCTATGATCCGCTCGCCACCACAATGAGCTTCTAACCCTTCTCTTCCATTCCCCCCTTCCCCCTCTCCCCTTCTTCTCCATGGCAGTCTGCTGATTGGCTTGGTGCTGCAGCAGGATCGCTGGGGCACGCAACAGTGCAACGGATCGGGGTGAGTGGCCCTGGGGAATGGGGTGAGTGGTGAGGTGTGACATGCCAGGCTTTCATGATACTTGTCTGATCCTGTCTCTGCGTGTGCAGCCACCAGTTTCTCCTCATTCCTCCCTTCCTCACACCTGCACCCTCTCGTTCTCCCTTCCACCAACTCTGCCTCCTCCCTCCTAATCCCTCCCAGCCTGCTGCACCTGGCGGGGTGGTGCAGCAACGGCACATCCAGAGAGCCATTTGGGGTGAACCCGCACTTCCTGCCCACGTCGGCCATCTACGACAGCGCTGCCAGCGCCAACATGAACCAGCTCGACAACAACACCCTCAATCCGCAGAACCTCCCCTACGGATTCATCTACCCCGTGGTCAGTTACCCATGGCATGGCCCCTTCATTTATCTCTGCTCTGTAAATCCTGCCTCTGATTTATCTTGTAAATGCTGAATTCTTCTGTGCACCCTTGTGTCTACAGGACTCCCTCACGGTCTACCCGCTGGTGTTTGACATCAATCTTGACTACGAGGCGGCCATGCGTCGCCTGCACTACCTGGTGGATGGAAGCTATATTGACAATGGCACTCGCACTGTCGACGTCAGCTTCATCAGTTTCAACGGTACTTAATTTTGAAGTTGTTTTAGACCAATTACGGTGAATTTTCTGGTGAATGCCAAATGGATGTGTGTTTTTTCTCTTTTATCGGGCTTCACTGCTCTGCCCCTCCCCTTCTCTCTCCGTCTCATGCGTCCACCACCTTCGCCCACGTTGCCAGGCGAGACGCTCACGTTTGTGCTCACAACTGTTAGTTGCAAAGTCACAACGGGCGGCAGCATGGCAGTATCGATCAAGTCACAGCCGGCAGCCATGGCGATGTACGATGCATCGGCGGACAACATCGCACGGCTGATGCTGGAGGTGGTGTATCTGGTGGGGCTGCTCTGGAATGTGTGTGGCGAGCTGCAGGAGATGGCCGACCGCGCCGCGATTCACGGCTCTGTGCTCAGCTATTTCAGCCTCGTGTGGAACTGGGTCGACATGCTCTCTCTCACACTGCAAGTGACCGCAGTTGTTATCTGGTAAGAAACCAGCTAAGGTGCGGCAATAGTAGCCATTGTCGTGCAATGTATGCGGCTCCGATCTCACCGTTCATCTGTCCACTCCAGATGCCCGAATTCCCCTCACTTTCCTACACATGCGCACGTGTGTGTGTCGGTGTGCTCAGGGTGGTGCTGTGGCGGTACGTGGAAGCATTTGACATGCAGCCACGATACGACATCTACTACACGCTGCTCGAGATGCCGCGCTACTGGGCCGTGCCCAACCCGCCCACGGGCTTCATCAGCGCCACTCAGGCCTTCGCTGATCTGCGCAACATCATCAACCTCCGTGGCATCTACTTTTCCCTCCAGGGCATCAAGTGAGTGAGCCGCCTACGCGTGTGTGCGTGTGTTGACTCCCTTTTCTATCAGTAAAAAACAACTTAATCTTTTGGCTTGGCTCGTTTTCTCATGTCTAGCTGTCGATCACCCATTGATGATCCATCCCGAATCAACCACACTCTTTCTTTTGCCCCGCCTAATTCCTTTCCCTGCTCCCTGTTCCTCCCCAGTCTCTTTTTCATGATGATTCGCCTACTCAAGGTGATGGACTTCCAGCCTTACCTTGGAGTCATCACTCGCTCCCTCGCCCTCGCCACGCCCTCCCTGATGCACTTCTTCTTGCTCTCCTTTACGGTCTTCTTCTGCTTCAGCATGTACGCCTACCTTGTCTTCGGAGGAGCACTTGAGATGGTATGTGTGGGGCTCATTTCTTACCTTTTTTTTTAAGAATGTGTCGCGTCACCCTTTTTTTTCTTTTGCTTGAGCACAACTTTGTGTTCAAGTTTACCAAGTTCGTGCGTGCGTGTGTGTGTTTATGTATTCATTCATTCATTCATTCATTCATTCATTCATTCATTCGTTCGTTCGTTCGTTCATTCATTCGTTTACTTGTTTCTTATTACGATTACTATTACTATGATTATTATTATTCTTATCATTATTATTAATATCATCTTCATGATCATTAAGAATTTCCACCCCCCTCCCCTGCCTCCCCCTTCCGCCTTATGCAGTTCTCTACGGTCCTGGAGTCTATGTTCTCGTGGTTCCTGCTGCTTCTCAATGACAACGGCTCCGCCTACTTTTTTCAACAAATGGAGTCGTGGGACCTCATAGCTGCGATGCTCTTCTTCTTCATGTTCATTGTCTTCATGGTCTTCATCCTCCTCAACTTCCTCATCGCCATCATCGTCGATGCCTTCATGAGCGTCAAGGACAGCAACCTTGTCGCCACCTCTATAGTCGCTGACCTCACTCACATCTTCAAGTACAAGTGGAACTGCTGGCGCGGCCGCTACTTGCCGTATCCGCTCATTCTTGACCGCCTTGTGGAGTTGGGCGCTAAGGACACTCGAGTAGACGAGGTGAGAGCTGGGAACCAACCTCACACGCTTGGGCAAGATCAGGGGGCGAAAAACTGGTCAATTATGACCTTTCACTGAATGGCCCATCCGCCATTCATGCAGTACCAGTGTGCGCGTCCACCGGTTTGGACACCGGGTCGGCTGTACGCACGTGCGGCGCACTTTTACACTGTGCATGTCTAGTGGAGCCCTCACACACAAACTGGCTGGTCAATCCAACAATAACTGGCACAATACGTTCTTGACCTCTTGACCGTTCTTGACTGACCTCAATCCAGCAATCCCTCTTGCAATCGGATCGGCGGATGCGTCGCATGCAGTCAATGAAGGGCCGCACGCGAGCCATCTTCTCCTGCAGCTTTGGCGGCGGATGCAAGCCCTCGCACCTCGATTGCGCCGAGAACCACCCCACCTTCCCGTCCGCCGGCCAGACTGGCGAGCGGCTGCAGCACGTGCTGACAGTGAGGGAGAAGCGCATCGACGTCATCTCACTCTCCATGATCCTGCAGCGCCGCCAGGACAGGGAGGTGCGTTCTTGCTGGCGTGGTTGTCGGCATGAGTACTTGGGCGTGCCATGTGTCGTGGCATACAATGCGGTTCTACTATGGCATATGTTGTACGTTGTGCCAAGCCATGTGGGTGTGCCAGGGCATATGTTTCGCCATGTGTTTGGCCATGCGCTGTGGCAAGCCATGTATTGTGACATGCAGGCATAGTAAATGTGATGTGCCGACTTCTATGCATGACGTTCTCACAATCAATCTGCCCCGCCCGCACATCTCTCTCTCCACCACTCTCACCGTGTTTCACTATCTTTCCTCAGCGAGTGGGGCCGTACAAGGCTGAGTCACCGTACAAGTGTTTTCCAAGGGCAGCCTCAAGAGAGTGTGCGGACGACGAGCAGTTGGATCAGCTGTCGCAGGCGGTGGTGCTGCAGTGCGGTGAGGTGGTGAAGAAGGCCGCTCTGCCCGCCAAGAAGAGTGCAAAGAAGCTCAGCCTCGCTCACCTCAAGGTGCGGAAGGAGAAGGGTGCGGGGGTGTGTTGCGAATATGCGCGAGGGAGAGTGCTAACACGGTGGGGGTTGCAGTGATTGGCCGAGGAATGAAAAGCGCCCGCAATCAACCGTCCAGGCTTCCTATCCCTGTCATGCGTTCTTACGACTCCTTCCCAACATCCCTTCATCCTCCCCCACCCCAACACCCTCCATCCTGTGCCTGTGAGAGCAGGAGGATCTGGCGCGCAGCGAGGCAAAGGTGGAGGAATTGAGTGCCATGATGACGGACATGCACGCACTCATGCTCGACCTCCTCGCCCGCACGCCCCCGCTAGGCAACACTGCCCACTCTCCGGGTACCCCCGGGGGGCTGCCAGCATTGTCAAGCATGCCGCGTGCCTACACGGAGCCCCCGTGGTGTCAAGAATAATATATATTTCTATATATTGTTTTGTAACTGCCTGTAGTGTAGACTAGTTTAGTTATATAATGTTCTGTTTTGGTGGTGCACCTTTCATCTTGCCTATATGTACTGCTCGCTCTATAGTGAAAACCCTTCTTCTCTTTTCAATTTTCTCGACTCTCCTAAACTTACTCGAACTCAACTAGTTATGGCTCCTTAGCCTAGCTAAGCTTTTGACATGGTACAGAGCACGTAACACTCCTGGACTCCTGCTTCCGCTGCCACTAAGTGTTTTGCACGCCCCGTGGTGTGCCCTACTCTCGCGGCCCCGCCGCCCTTCTTAAGCGGCCCCGCCGCCCTACTGTCGCGGCCTCGCCGCCTCTCTGCTGTCGCGGCCCCGCCGCCCTACTGTCGCGGCCCCGCCGCCCTCCTGTCGCGGCCTCGCCGCCCTGCTTTAGCGGCCTTGCCGCCCGTACCAGCCCGTCGCCGCCCTTCGCGGCGTCACGTACCGCCCGTACAACGCGCCGCCGTCCGCTGCGGCCCCGTCGCCGCCCGTACCGGCCCGTCGCCGCCCGTCCCGGCCCGTCGCCGCCCGTGCGGTACCCGCCCCAGGCCCCGATGCCACCTGCGGCCCCGCCCTCTTGCGGCCCCGACCCCGCCCCGGCCATGCCCTGTCGCCAGCCGCGGCACACCGGGGGCACGTGCACCGCCCCCCCCCCTTTTCCCGTCACCCGTCGCGGCTCCTTCGGGGGCCGCGACCTGGAAGGTGGGGGCAGGCGTCGCCCCCTCTGCCGCCTGCTTTGGCACCCGGGGAGGCCGTGCGTCGGCCCCCCCCCTCCCTCCCCCCCCTCTTCTCCTCCTCCTTTTGTTCCCTCTGCTGCAGCTGCCGCTGGGGGGGAGGGTGTGAGAGTGTGGGGGAGCCCGGGGAGGGACTGGGGGTGGCGGGTGTGGGGGTGATGGGTGATGTGTGGTCCCCTGGCCCTACGGCCCCATTCTCCTCCGTTTACCCCCCCCCCCCCCCCCCCTCTGCTGCTCCTGCAGCAGTGTGAGGGGGATGGGGAGGGGGAGGGGGAGGTTGAGGGGATGTAGGGGGTGACCAACCAGAGCCTACCACCTCCTCTCCTCTCTCTCTCCTCTCTCCCTTCTGTTCTCTGTTTTCTGCACTGGTTGTCACTGCTCCTGCCTACTGCTGCTACTTCAACTGCACTCTGCTTGGTGTACCCCATTATGGGGGCGTTGACTGCATATTCTTCCCTACAGGCACTTATGGGGGCGTGTCAAGAATAATATATATTTCTATATATTGTTTTGTAACTGCCTGTAGTGTAGACTAGTGTAGTTATATAATGTTCTGTTTTGGTGGTGCACCTTTCATCTTGCCTATATGTACTGCTCGCTCTATAGTGAAAACCCTTCTTCTCTTTTCAATTTTCTCGACTCTCCTAAACTTACTCGAACTCAACTAGTTATGGCTCCTTAGCCTAGCTAAGCTTTTGACACGTGGCGTCTCATGTCCCTCACAGACTCCCCGCCGCCACTGGAGCAAGCAGGTAGTAGGAGAGAGGTGCCTAGAAGGTTCAGCGAGAGTGGGGCAGGTGGGGGACCAGTCGAGGGAGAGAAAAGAGTGGGGGGCACAAGAGATGGTTGGAGCCCTGCAGGAGGGAACTCAAGCAGAACCCCCGTGCGTTTTGAGTCAGCTCAAAACTCACCTGGGGGGGCAGCTGAGGGAGGGAGACGAGCGGGTGACACTAGAGATGGGTTGAGTATAGCAGGAGGGGGCTTGAGCAGAACCCCGGTGCAGGCGTCACAGCGGGCGTTGGGCAGGCGAGTGTCGTGGCAAGATGACAGAGGGGCAAAAAGGGACAGGACAGAGGGGTGGCAGTAACAGCTCCTGGTGTAAAGGTTTGGTTAATCGTATGAAGTAAGCTTTGATTGGCTCGAGCATGCTGGTAACCAGTGCTAACTGACTCGCACGGTAACGAGTGAGGTATACTAACGTTTTGGGTTGTTACAGTGTAAGATACAATGTTTTATGTGTTGAAATGTTGAATCAAATCTTTTCAACACGAATACCTTGCAGTCGTTTCCTGTACAACTTTCACAAATGCAGCTTCCTGTATGTTCTGGAGCCGTAAGGAGCTCTTGTGGCATCTTCTGATGCACACAATGCCATGAGGTAAAGTTCCCTGTCTGTCCATCATGCTAGTTGGCCCAACCAACTGGTGCCAGAGCTGTTGGGCTAAGAAAAAGCCCTTAGGATCTTTGCAGGGGATAGCTCTAGGGTAGAAACTTGTAATAGCGGAAGCGTTTAATGAGGATTGTGAACCAACCTTGCACTGGTGTGTGAGAGCAAAGTAGATTATATTAAACAAGCAAATACAAGGATTTATATAGGAGTACAGGGAATACGAATAGATAGATAGATAACTGTATTACTGTTGCGGTTCGATATAGTGCGACTCGGGCAACTGCTCTGTAACGAGTCATTTGTGTGTCCTTAACTGTCGCGCTCTAATTGTCGAGTCAAAGGTCAGCGACCTTTGACTTTCTCGTAACCTCCAGACGGTTACCCTAACCTCCGAGGTTGACTCGATGCTTTGATTGGGACTGCTTCGCTTGGTGCCTTGGATTTTGACACGACAGAAGAGCACTTAAGACTTATTGTTTCCAACACTCCCCTTCGCTTCTGGAGTGTCGCTGCTGGTGACGTGGCCTTGTCCAGTCAGCAGCATGCAGTATTCGAACTTCTGCTTCCCGAGCTTCTTGGTCAAGTAATCGGCTGCCATCTCAGACGTGGGACAGTATGACAGATCGAGTTTCCCCTTTTCGATCTCGTCCTTCACGAAGAAATAGCGCAGGGCGATGTGTTTCGTCCTGTTTGCGAAGCCGTTCTTGTTGGCGATGCGAATTGCCGACTGGTTGTCGCAGAACACGGTGAAGCTGGGTAACTCGGCTAGCTTCGCTTCTTCCAGTAGTTCGCGAAGGTAAAGTCCCTCCTTGGTGGCTGAGCAGAGTGCAATATATTCTGCTTCTGCTGATGATAATGCGATTAACTCCTGCTTGCTCGACTGCCAGGAGATAGGACCGATAGGCTCAAGGCGGTAAACATAGCCGGTGCGTGAGCGCCTGTTGTCGGTGTCGCCGGCGTGATCGGCGTCGACGTAGCCGATTAGCTTGGTCGGTGTAGTCACGTTTTTGTGATAAGTTAGTCCGATCGTCGCGGTGCTGACGAAGTAGTGGAGAGCACGATCGAGTTCCGCCAGATGCTCTGCTTCAGGTCTCTTGAGATAGGTAGCGAGCTGACTTGCTGAGTAGGATAGGTCGGGATGGCATGTGACTGCTGCGAAGAGAAGGCATCCGAGCTTCTTCTGATAGTCGCGTATGCCGGCGGGCTTGAGTAGAGTAGATTGCCCCTTTTCGGTTCCTGACGCGTAGCGGTAAGGCGTGGAGATGGCGCTTGGTGTGAGGCGAAAGCGTTTCGCGATAGTGTCGGCGTACTTCTCAGCGCTTAGGTAGATTGCGTTTTCTTCCTCACGAATGTTGAGCCCGAGGTATTGCGTAACCGTAGAAGAGACCGTGAGCGTGAGGTCTTTCTGGAGCTCCCCTTCGAACCACGTGGCGATGTCGTCGGTTGACCCAATGTAGAGGAGATCGTCCACGTAGACGATTAGTAGGACGTAATCGCCTCCTTTTGTGAGGCGATACATGCCCTGGTCATGCGGGAGTTGTTTGAAGTCGATGCGGATGAGGCGGGCGTGTAGGTACTGCTGCCACAGTCGCGGTGCCTGCTTGATCCCATAGAGTGATTTGAGTAGTTGACACACTCGGTTGGGTTCGCCGTGGGAGCCGTGCGGGAGTTCGACGAAGATTTCTGCATCTACATGTGCGTAAAGGAATGCATTCGCAACGTCGATTTGTCGCAATTTCTTCTTCTTCATGGCGGCGACGGCGATGAGGATTCAGAGTGAGGTGTGACGGCTGACCGGCGCGAAGGTTTCGGTGTAATCTCTTCCGTGCTCCTGGTCGAAACCACGTACGACCCAGCGGGCTTTGAATTTGTCGATGGTGCCATCAGCTTTCGTCTTCACACGGAAGGCCCACTTCCCGGTAAGAATGGTTTTGTTTTGGGCTACGCCGATGGGAACAATTTTCCAGGTGTTGCGCTCCTCCAGTGCCTTCAGCTCTTTGTCCATGGCTTGACGCCATTTCTCCCTGTGTTCCCCCCCCAGAGCCTGTTGAACCATCGCAGGCTCCTTAGGAATGCCGGCGCCATGGACTGCGGTGACGAGACCAAGGATTTGCAGCCCAGTCTGTGAGTATCGAGGGAGTTCTGGATCCTCGGGATAAGCTGCTTCGTCTCCCGCTTCTGGGTCGGGCATGAAATTTGGTCCTACCCTTTCTGCTTCGTTGGTGTTGACTGTCACAGGTGTTACGTAACCATCGTCGGCGAAACGGTAGAAGATTTCGGCGTTGTTACTGTCGCGAGGATTATCCTCATCCATGGGCACGTCGACGGAGCAGTATGGGAGAGGTCCGGCTTCCTCCGAGGCGTTGTCGACGTTCTGTTCGTCCCAGTCTGCTTCGTCCGCTGCTGACGCAAAGGCTCGGTCACCACGAAAACCACTGGTGAGGTCCCGATTCTCGTGCAAGTTGGCGAGGTACGTCTGAAGGGTGAGTCTTTCGTAGAAGATCACGTCACGTGCTGCTACTGTTTCCTTTGTGTGGACGTCGAAGATTCTCCATGCGTTGTAATTTTTCTCGATGCCGAGGTGTAGTCCCCACTGTGCCCGTTGCAAAAATCTTCCCGCTCGTGCTTCTGGGGGTCTGTACTGTACCATGCACCCGAAAACTCGTAACATTTTTGTGCTGCCCTGCTTCCCTGTCCACAGCAGATGCGGTGATGCGTTGTTCGGAAGTGACGACGATGATAACAAGTTGTGCAGCATGACAGCGTGGTCCATTGCTGCTGGCCACTGGTGGTTGGGTAGCCGCATGCCACGTAACAGTTTGCGCATGCTGTTCTGCAGGGTCCTGTTCAGTCGTTCTGCAACGCCTTGCTGCTGATGTGCGTAGGGAAGGGAGAGGAGTTTCTTGATCCCCCTTTCCGCCAAGAACTGCTTGAAGCGCTGAGAGGTGTACTCGCCACCTCCGTCTGACTGGAAACTTTTCAGTTGTGTTCCAGACTCTCTCTCTGCTATCGGTAGCCAGGCGGCGAATGCTGCGAGTGCCATGTCGCGGCTGGGTAGGTTGCGATGCCAGACGTATCGAGTGGCGGCGTCGATGAAGGTGATGGTGTAGTTGTAGTTGACTTGTCCTGGTTCGCGATTGTAGAGGATGTCGCTGTAGACCTTTTCGAGTGGTGCGTACGCTGGAGCGCTCGGGTTGTGATGTGGGGCAAATGGTCGATGAGGTAAGCCAGCTTCGGGGCATATAAGGCAAGTCCCTCGTGCCTTCTGGAGTTCTCTGCCATCGGGTAGAAGTAGAGAGTCTTTGTCGAGGACTCCTGCTCTTATAGTGTTATTTAAAACCGTGTTGCTTGGATGTCCTGTGCGTGCGTGCCAGATCTCTTCAGAGGCGCGGTGTCCGGGTGAACGCTGATATACGTCGGGGTTGGAGTAAAAGCTGGCGACGAGGTTGGCACTTCGGTGGACTTCACGTTGAGTCGGATTCAGCTGTTGCGCGGGTGTTGGTGGTGCTTCGTCGACTGTGACTGGTGTCGTTGTTCTTGCTGCTGCTGATGTTGTTGCTGCTGCCGATGTTGTTGCTGCTGCCGATGTTGTTGCTGTTGCCGATGTTGTTGCTGCTGCCGATGTTGTTGCTGCTGCCGATGTTGTTGCTGTTGCCGATGTTGTTGCTGCTGCCGATGTTGTTGCTGTTGCCGATGTTGTTGCTGCTGCCGATGTTGTTGCCTCTGCTTCTTGTTGGATCGTTGCTAACGCTCTTGTTCGTTCTGCTTCAGGGATAGTGTGGGAGTACCAGAAGCCTCCCGGGCTGAAGTCAGGGTCGAGATCCGGAGGGTGTGTCCAATCAGCAAAGTTTACAATGGCGTCGCTGTCTGCAGTGCCGAGGTCGGGAACGATGTCGAGGACGAAAACGTTATTCTTCAGCACTGCCTTCCCGATGTAGAGACCGCCTCTCCCGTGGTAAAGCTTGAACTCCTGGGTCGTGCTGTCGGCTTCCAGATGAATTCCTTTCGCCATCAACTGGCTAACACTCAGTAAGTTGTAGCCGAGTCCTTCAGCGATGAGTACCTTAGACATGTGCAGTATAACATTTGTCTCTCTTGACTGAAGCTGTACCACTCCCTGTCTTCGTGTGCGCAGGTTTTGATTGTTGGCAACCGTGATGATCACGTCTCGTTGGAGTCGATGTTCGCGTTGTACGAAACGCCCGGACGAGCACATGTGTTGCCCGCAGTAGCTGTCCAAGAACCAAGTGTCTTGGCCGGACGGTTCACTTTGAGCGATGGCGGCGTAAGTCGGATTCGGGTGGAGTGATTCGCGGCGAGGCGTTCTGTTGTCGAGCTCCTCCTTTGGTGAGCAGTGGGGTGGTGACTCTGTTATGCAAGAGTCGTTTATCTTGACCATGCAGTTGACTATGTTTCTTGCTCCTTGTGCAGGTTTTCCAGTTGAGGTCGTTGAAGCTTGAATCGTGGTTGTCGAGCTTGCTTGTGTCGAAGCGACTTGGGTGCTTGAAGGCCGCAGTTGTCGCTGTGGTGTTGTCTGACGAGACGGACAGTGCGTACGTGGGTGTCCTGATGTCTTGCAGATGTGACAAAACGGAGGTACTGGCTTCGGCTGCTGTTGTCGGTAGTTGTAGTTGTTGTGTCGTCGCTGAGTATGGAAGGCAAACTCCGGTGCTAATGCTCTTTTCTTGTGTCTTTCTTCTTGCAGGTCCATATCCTGCTGCTCGGCGTGAATTTCGGCGCAAAGTGCCGCTTCGGAGATCCTCCCGTGAGCTCGAAGAATTGCTTTGGTGGCGCGCCACTGAGGACCAAGGCCACTGATGACGACTGTTACGAAGGCGTCTTCAGAGATTGACCCTCCGCATCGAAGAAGCTTGTCGCGCAATTCGCGACATCGGCTGATATACGCCAACCCTTTTTCTCCTGGTTTCATTTCAACTGTTGTCAATTGCGCCATTAACCTGCTCTGGTTTACACTGTCTGTTGCCTGGTACAGGTTCTTCAGATGGCCGTACGCGAGTTCCGCCGAGTTGCCGAAGTTCCGGTAAGAGCGAATGTTCTGCTGCTGTGTTGGTGTGATGTTTCTCAGTAGAATAGTATACGCCATCATGGATTGATACGTATACTGCTGCTTCTCATACTGTGTCCCGTTTGCTGGATACTGCAGGGATCCGTCGAAGAAACCGAGTATCTGCGCGCCCTCCATCATCAACTCGAATTCAAAGGATCAGGTAAAGAAGTCCTTTCCGTCGAAAGGTCTTGACGTCTGTAGTTTCAGAACATGCGCGAACTGCGACTGGACTTGTAAAGCATCCATTGGTTTGTCTTGCGCAGGTGGAGGTTGAGGCAAGAAGCTAATCGACCCGCGTTCGTACGGGGCGAAGGTGGGTTGCTGCTGTTGATTCCCTCGCGCATATGACGACCCATCAAGGCTCATGGGTGTTGCTCCGTTGTTGCTGTTGTGTGTCTATGCAGGTCCCGACTGCTGGTGTTGCTCGTAGAAGGACATGAAGGAGAAAAATTTCTCCATCATGCTCTGGTCGAAGTCAGAAGGGTGGTGCGTGGGCGTCTCGGTTGAAGTTCCCCTTGGTCTTGCTGTCGTGCCTTCCTCTGTCTGTAGGCCAGAGGCTGGTGGTGGAGTAGGAGTAGTGCCCGAGGAGCCATTAGGAGAGCTCCTTTCCTTGTTTGTTGCCATGTCTTGAAATGATTTTGAAAAGAAGTTTAGAGTTTTCCCCTGTTAGCTCTCATACCATGTTGGGCTGAGAAAAAGCCCTTAGGATCTTTGCAGGGGATAGCTCTAGGGTAGAAACTTGTAATAGCGGAAGCGTTTAATGAGGATTGTGAACCAACCTTGCACTGGTGTGTGAGAGCAAAGTAGATTAGATTAAACAAGCAAATACAAGGATTTATATAGGAGTACAGGGAATACGAATAGATAGATAGATAACCGTATTACTGGTGCGGTTCGATATAGTGCGACTCGGGCAACTGCTCTGTAACGAGTCAGTTGTGTGTCCTTAACTGTCGCGCTGTAATTGTCGAGTCAAAGGTCGCTGACCTTTGACTTTCTCGTAACCTCCAGACGGTTACCCTAACCTCCGAGGTTGACTCGATGCTTCGATTGGGACTGCTTCGCTTGGTGCCTTGGATTTTGACACGACAGAAGCGCACTTAAGACTTATTGTTTCCAACAAGAGCAACAAAGGTCCCTCCCGCCGCTTGGTTCAGCCACCACCTGCCTCTACAGTTGCTTCTCTGCTAGATTTACAGGACGCAGTGAGCCACACCAACATGCAATGGTGAATTGGGCAGCAGACACTGCATCCCCAGTATGTGACCGCTGAGAGTGGGCCATAGGGTGCAACAGCGGAAAACAGTGTTTAGGTTCGGAGACTTTCAAGGGTCTCTTTGGTTTCCAATCAGTGGCTCCTCCCATGAGTCCTCTGCCCTGACACCAGCCTCACCGCCCTCCACTGCCTCGTCTTGAAACACAACCCGTCGCCCCAACCTGCTACCCACTCTCCCATTTCCACTTGCTCGGACAGGCCTGCCTCTCCCTCTCCCTTCCACTCCTGCTCCTTCACCCACACCCATCCTACCCGTCTCCCCCCTCAGCCCCTCACCCTCCGCGTCCACTTGCGGCACTTTTGGACACGGCTACACCAGCGGCCACTGCCCCGGCAGGGGTGATCCCGAGGGGGGGACAGGAGGGGTCTGGGAGCGGGATACAGGAGGCGTGTGGGCGCGTGAGGCGGGGAGGGCGCGGTCGAGCAGCGCCATCATGGCTCGCATGTCGCTCTGCATGTCCGCCATCATGCCCCTCAGCTCCTCTACTCCTGCCTGGCACCGCACCACCTCCTCCTGCTCGCTCCATGCACGGCACACGGGAGGGACGGGACGGGATGCATGGGTCAGGGATGGCAGCCACTGACTCGCAACGACTCGGCAGACTGAGCCATGCCTCGCAGCACTACCTTCCCACCTCCCTCGCTTGCATCCATACATATCCCTCCTCACCCGTGTCCTTGCACATCGCCACATGCACCCTTCCCCCTCCCCACGTACCTGCACGTGCGCGAGGCTGAGCTTCTGAACGGGCTTCTTGACGGGCAGGGCGGCCTGCTTCACCACCTCGCCGCACTGCAGCACCACCGCCTACGACAGCTGCTCTAGCTGATCCTCCTCCGCATTCCACGAGACTAAACACGCTCCACTGGATGACGTGGCAGGGGCTTTCTTTGCCTGGAGAACAGCAAGGGAAGGCAGATGTGATGAGAAGGTAGAGTGGGATTGGAAGGCGGAGGATGGATGGCGGATGGGAAGGCTGTATGTCATTGAAAGTCGGGTTACGACGAGAGGCAGAGTGATGCAGAGGAAAACATTGGCAGACCCTGGATATCGGCCACAATTCACACTTTTCATGGCATTACGCACATCAGCCATCACAAGCATGACGAGAAGGTAAAAAAGGCACTAAAAGCATGGGAACGAGCACGCCAGCAAGGGACGCACCGCGTGGTCGTGGCGGCGCTGCAGGATCATGGCGAGCGAGATGACATCGATGCGCTTGTCCCTCACTGTCAGCACGTGCTGCTTCCGCACCCGAGACTCGCTAGCGGCGGATGGGAAGGCGGGTTGGTTGTCGGACCGCGGGAAGGGCGTCGCCTTGTCGGCGGCGCTGCCTCGCGTGCCGGAGAGCATTGCGGTGACCCGCCGTTGGATCGACTTGAAGCGGCGCTTTCGAGGGTTCTCCTGAGACGAAAGCGCGTGTGCGGAATGACGTGAGTGGGTGGGAGACGGAGGTGAAGGGTCGGTGGCAACGGTAGCCGTTGCAGCATGGCTCAGGCGCCGCATCAAAGCTGCGTGAAAGGAATCAATTGCTTCGTGTCTGCATGGCTGGAACACACAGCAGCCCAACAACCACTTGCGAAACAACCAAGCACATTCACTTCACTCACTTCATGGAATACCAACAGAATTTTTCTGCACCAAACACCTCACCACACACTCACGTCTTTTATGCGCGTGTCTTTAGCCCCCAATTCCACAAGGCGGTCGAGAATGACGCGGTACGGCAAGTAGCGGCCGCGCCAGCAGTTCCACTTGTAATTAAATATGTGCGCGAGATCAGCAGCGATAGACGTAGCAACGATGTCGCTATCTTTGACGCTCATGAAGGCATCAACAATGATGGCGATGAGGAAGTTGAGGAGGATGAAGACCATGAAGACGATGAACATGAAGAAGAAGAGCATTGCAGCAATCAGGAACAACGACTAGGCGCGAAAAGAAGTAGGCCGAGTTGTTGTCGTTGATGAGAAGCAGGAACAACGAGAACATGGAGTTGAGTACGGTGGAGAGCTGTACAGGGTGGGTTGGGGAGGAGGGAGAAGGGGTGTTTGTGGAGAACTGGATGGAGAAGGCCCACAAGGTTGGGAAACAGGAGAGGCGGCATGGTGAACCTGAAAGAAAATCTGGTTGGAACAATATGGTATTGTAAACTGCAGAAGTACATGAGAGATGTGATACTTGCTTGTTATTATCTTGTTTTGATTAGTTCCTTTTTCTGGTGTGTATATATACATGTATATATGCATATATGCATCTACATATGTATATGTATATACATACATATACGCGTAAATCTATATATGCATACACACATACATATTTATATATACATTAAGTAAAACGTGATGGTAACTGGTTATTTGCCTCACCGCACATTTATGGTGCTCACTTGGATTTGATATACAAAGAATGAGTAAATGAGCCCCACACCCACACACACCAGCTCCATTGCGCCTCCGAAGACGAGGTAGCCGCACATGCTGAAGCAGAAGAAGACCGAGAAGGAGAGCAGGAAGAAGTGCATCAACGAGGGCGTGGCGAGGCCGAGGGAACGCGTGATGACCCCGAGGTACAGCTGGAAATCCATCACCTTGAGTAGGCGTATCATCATGAAGAAGACACTGAGGGGATAGGGGGGTGGGGAGGAGGGGGAAGGGAAGGATGTTAAATGTAGGATGTCAGCTGACTGGGCGAATCCTGTGTTACACAAACAGTCGCACATCGGACCGACCTCTGCTCAGGCTTCGTCTCAACCATTTCGGGTTTGACTTTTGCTCAGGGTAAATTCCGGACTCTGGTCAGACTTCTAGACAGCAATGCTTCTCAACCTGGGAATTAGCACAATCGGTGAGAAATAGCTGCGATTTAAGGCCACAAGCACGGCTGACCAGAAGTTTGACCAGAGCCCAGAATGTACCCTCAATCTGGGAAGTTGTAGAGACAGTGAAAATGGCTCACTATATTGTTCTGAAAAGCACGGCAGCGCACTTGAAACCGTGACGGCAAGGCGAGCGGCTCACTCACTTGATGCCCTGGAGCAGGCCCTCAGATTCGTTTTTGGCCTGTCTGATTCGTCAGACTCTCTCTCAGTATTAGTCTGAAATCCTCAGAGTTGTCTAAAAAAAAAGTCTGAAACGTCAGAGTGTGTTCAAAAAAAAGTCTGAAACTTTCAGAGTACACTCAAGTAAAAGTCTGATTGTGCTTGTTGTAGCCCTAGTAATCATATCATAAAGCAAGCCTACTCCACTTCTCATACAGCTTTGCCTACATTCATACTAGTCTCAGAATCCCAACCACTAGACCATTGGGATAAAAGGGCTTGTTTCAGTAGCGGGTCAGTGCGCCCATAACCCCCCAGGCAATCGTGCCTGTAACCCTTCCCTAGGATCGATCGGGGATCACCAGTGGACCTCTGACACCCCCCCGCACTGGGATGCCCGAAGTGCATACACCGGGATTCGAACCCGAGACCTTCGCTCTGGATACCATCTCAGAATCCCAACCACTAGACCATTGGGATAAAAGGGCTTGTTTCAGTAGCGGGTCAGTGCGCCCATAACCCCCCAGGCAATCGTGCCTGTAACCCTTCCCTAGGATCGATCGGGGATCACCAGTGGACCTCTGACAACTAGTACTACTACCGTAATCTCCCGGATAGTAGACCCTAGGGTCTTGTGTAAAATTCATAAAGAAATAGGGGGGGGTCTTGTCAACGGCACAAGATTGTTTAGTACCCGGGTCTTATCAAATTGATATGATTTTTAAAGGTGTAATCGAGTGCCTCATTGATGAGGATGCTTGACATTTTTTCCCCTGTTGTTTGGGCCGCACATGTGTGCGACTTCTGCGATGTAGCCATATCACACAGGGGAATCAGCTTGTGGCCTTCTCATTGGCCGAAATCGCACGTTACCACATTCCAGCATTGAGATTCGCTTTGTGGCTGGTCAGCGTGCCATCCCACCTCGACACCCTGACACATGCACGGCTCGAGCGCAGGGGCTGCACGATGGCCCGTGCAGCAACCCCTACTGTTCAACGGGAGGCACGTCAATCCTTTCACCCATCACAATCCTTCTCCTCCGCCTGTTTCTTCATCCAAGCACGAAACTGATTTCTGCTCGGCAGAGTGGTGCGCTTAGGGCCCGTAGCTCTAGGATGGTCGTCTTAAGATGGGTGGAGGAAGTACTTCGAGCAGTAGCTAGAGGTGTAAGCTATCATTCACGATGCTGACGTCTCCAGATTCAGGGATGTCGCACGCAAGGCGCCCTCGTCCCACTAACGTTAATCGAGCATCGCAAGTACGAGTTTCACCCCGGCCCGTTTTGCCAACAACTTCACCTTCCTCCAGCGATCCTAGCGACAGTTCCCATGGCATTCGCCGACCGCCGCTTCCTAGAGTCATAATCCCTACTTTTCCGGAGTCTAGGCGCCCGCAAGGCATGAAACGAAGGATTCTAGATGCTGCGCCTCCTTCCCCTCGTCATAGGATGACGAAACGCTCTCGTAACGCGTTCACCGCCAAGGAGAAATTGCACTGGCTGGCCATGTTGGAGTCACAGCCTGACCTCAGCATCCGTGGCTTGGCGAAGCTCGCCAAGGTGCAGCCCAAGCAAATCCGCGAGTGGAGGCGACTCAAGGAGCGTCTCGAGGTCGCCGCTGGTTGTCGCCGACGTCTTAACGGTGGAGGGCGTAGGGCGAAGTGGCCCCTGATGGAGAAAGCGGTTTACCGCCAATTCTTGGCGCACCGTGCCAAAGGATTGGCGGTGTCGGTGAGCCTTCTCCGCAAATGGGCAACTCAGTACATGAAGCACCGTCAGCCTACCGCCGATTTTCGCGCATCGGCACGTTGGACCTTTCGCTACCGCGTGCGGTGGTCATTAGCGCAACGCGTGAAGACAAAGATGGGGCAAAAACTAGCCGCCGGTGAGCAAGTTGCATGTCACCCCCCCTTGCCGTAACGGTTTACGTAAAATGCTATCTAACACATGTGTCGTTGTGTGTTTAACAGATTGCAAGGGAAAGGTGGAGTCCTTCTGGGAATTCGTCCGCCAGATGCGCATGGTTCATCGCTTTCCCCTCAACCTCATCGTGAACGCTGACCAGACCCCGCTCTGGTTGGAGATGCCGGCAGAACGCACCCTCGAAATGAAAGGCGCCCGCACGGTGCATGTAAGGACGGCGGGGTACGAGAAGGAGCGTGTCACTGTCATGTTGGCAGTGACGGCTGACGGCCTGAAGCTTCCCCCGTATGTCATCTTCAAGCGGAAGACGGTGCCACGAATCGTGGTGCCACCAGGTGAGCCCGATGTGTTTCTGTCGTTGATTCCTTCTGTTCCTCTTGTTTCTCCATTACTAATTTCTAGTTGTGGCGTGTGCAGGTATCGTCATCCGCGCCCAAGAGAAGGGTTGGATGGACGACCGCCTTGTCCAGGATTGGACAACACAGGTGCTCGTCCCCTTCTTGAAGCCGTTGCGGGACGAGGGCGGGCGGCGCAAGCAAGCGCTCCTTGTCTTCGACTCGTACAAGGGGCACCTGACGGAATCTGTGGGGCAAACTCTGAAGATGTTTAAGGTGACGCGTGCCGTCATCCCTGGCGGTTGCACCCCCCTGGTGCAACCGCTTGACGTCTCCATCAACCGCAGTTTCAAGTGCGGTGTTCGCCACCGCTACAGCACGTGGTTTGAGGAGGTCGGGATCGGCCAAACGACACGTCTAGGTGAGTCGTGGTCGATTTGTGAGCTTTAAGATGACTAGTCAGCATTAACTCCACTGCCTTTACATCTCTGTTGTGCATTCTTCTTGTGAACTCCAGGGAACTTGAAGAAGCCCCCCCCTGAAGTGATCCTGAAGTGGATCGTCGAGTCATGGGCTGATGTGCCAGAGGAGCTGGTGAAGAAAGCTTTCCTCACCTGCGGCATCTCCAGTGCCGAAGACGGGAGCGAGGATCATCTGATCCTGGCTCACCTGCGGGACAAGGCGGAAGTGGAGGTGCTGGAGGATGTGCTGGACGAGGGGGAGGACGGGGTGAACCCCAACCCGTTCTACGAAGACCCCTCGCACGCCCCTGAGCCCGCCGCTACCAAGGACGATGAGGCAGAGGACGAGGAGGAAGGGCTTGCAGGGGAGGAGGATGTGGTGGATGCTGCTGCCGAGGAAGGGGATGTGATGGCTCCGGAGGAGGAGGGGGATGAGGCAGATGCAGAGATGGGAGGTGCGGACGAGTGGAGTGAGGATGGAGACGACTGGTGGGCAGCAGGCCGCTATGAGGGAGAGGAAGTGGAGGAGTGGGTTGCAGGCGAGGATGAGTGACTATTTTTATGTTGTTCTCACCCCTTGTTGCCCCCTAAATCTCTGAAATGCAAACCGTGAATAGGTTGCATTGGTGTCAAGCTTTTCTTGCTAGTGAAGCACTTGAAAATACATCTTATTTCCATTATAAACTAGTGACAACCATGAAGGGGGGGGGTCTAGTAATGTTTACCCCTCTAGGGGGGGGTATAGTGAAAACCTGCCAAAATAAAAGACCCACCCCCGTAATACAGACCCGGGGGTCTTGTATTCCGGGGGGTCTATTATCCGGGAGCTTACGGTACTACTACTAATGCTGCTGCTTAGCCTTCACAAGATCACAGTTAGAATAGAACTAACTACCGGTAACTAACTAACTACCCTACCTACATCCAGTCAGCAAATCCATCGTCATCATCACCAGGCCCTCAGATTCGTTTTTAGCCTGTCTGATTCGTCAGACTCTCCCAAAGTTGTAGTCTGAATCTGACAGAGTTGCAAAAAAAAAAAAGGGCGACGATAGCACATGTTGCAGCTGGGTTGTCTGGAGCCATGTAGCTGTAGCTTGCGTCAGCTCACCGAAGCCGTATTTGCACATGGAACCAATAGTCAATAACAATTTAGTTAGAACATTATTACAACGTGGGTACTTATAAAGAGGCGTACGGCAGTTGCACTCACGTGGTGTAGTAGGTGCCGTACCCTCTCTTAGGGAAGCCTTGCACGCCCTTCTCCGACAAGTACCGCACCAGTTTCACCCACGTCCCCATGGGCGCGTCGGACCTGCTGATGAACAGCAGCGAGTCCAGAAGGGCGACGGTCCACATCTTCTCAGCATCCACCGCGGCGCGATGTTGGTCGATCTGTGGCTGCCGTCCACCGCACTCCTCTTCATATTTCTGTCTCCCAATCCGCCAGCTTGTGCTTCGTCGAGCCAGCGTGTTTACGGAAAGACTGTGTCTGCAGGTCGGTGGCGCCTCTCCCGCGCCTCCCGCACTTTCCTGCATCCCCAGCAAAGGCTGCACAAACGGTACACTTGAACGCAGGCAAGCCGGTAGTGGTTTTAGTGATTCTGAGCCACTGAAACCGGGTAGACCAATGATTTCTGAACTTGTCAATCGCTTCGTCGTAAACTCCCTCGATGAGCTCGGCCAGATTGATATTGAGGCGAGGTCGCGGTCGGTCAGATGTTCCGGGAGCGTTTGTGACGTTGACAGTTGACGACGCAGGTTTGCCGAAGGTCAAGGTCGCCTGCTTGAGACGGGTCGTGCGCGCCGTGGTCTGAGTCGGAATCTGCGACTGTGAATCACCGATTGGTTTCGCAGATGTCTCTGCCACATGGTCGGCAGAAAGTGAGAAAACTGAAGCCGCGGGTGCTTTCTGTATGGGAATCGTATCGGGCATGGCGCGTGCAGCTTTATCGAGATCTAGTGTACTAAGCAAGAAGTCCAAGCCTGTTAAGGCAGGCCGCTCATCAGGGTCGTCGTCGCCTGTGGCGGGATTGTCCAGCACCGCCATGGCGGGGGTGTGAAAGAGCCTGCCGAGCAGGAACTAACTAGAGAGATGATGGCTGAGGCAAAACTGGGCACTGGCTTGGGCCCGTGAGATGTAGCTGAGGGGTGTGGATGAAACCCTAGCACAAAGACGAAGGCCCTTTACCAAGATGGGCCATCATTGAGTTGTGTGGGTGGTTGCCTACCATGCACGGCAACGACGAGGCGCATCGTTGTAGTGTGTGGTGTGGATGTTGCAGCATCGTGGTACACGATGCTGCCTAAAGGAGCGTCTACTTGCCATCACGTTTACGTGGGTGGCATGGCAACAGCTGCAGCATCTTACACCGAGGGAAAGAACGCGCTGCAGGGCGGGTGAAACATCCAGCTGTACGAGGGAAACATCGGGCCGCAGGGCGGCGGTACAGGTACAATGCATGTAACCACAGCTAATCCTGGGTGTCGGCGCGCATGTAGATTCATTCAGATTCGGAACTCGTTTGTACTCTGAATTCATCAGAGTGCACTCCCGGAAAACTCTGAAACGTCAGAGTCAGCCTAGAGAAAAATATGATTTTCACAGACTTGAGACAATAAAAACTCTGAATTTTACAGAGTACACCCTAAAAAAAGTCTGAAATCTCAGACTAAAACAAGCAAATCAGACAAAAAAGTCTGACTTCTGGGGGCCTGCCCAGGAGGGCGAAGTAGACGGCGCGAAGGTTGATGATGTTGCGCAGATCAACAAAAACTTGAGTGGCTCTGATGAAGCCCGTGGGCGGGTTGGGCACGGCCCAGTAGCGCGGCATCTCGAACAGCGAATAGTAGATGTTGTACAGTGGCTGCATGTCAAACGTGCTCACGTACCGCCACAGCACCACCCTGAGCATACCAATGCACACGCACAAACCCACAAGTGGAGGATGGGGAGCAAGGCGGAGGAGCAGGGAAACATGGCCAGATGAGGTCATTCCTTAGGCGCCTTAAGAAATTTTCTGGATGACGAGTAAGTGAGACAGAAAACAGCTCTTGCCTCACCAGAGGGCAATGAATCTTGAAAATTCTCACCAGAGGACAACAACGATGGCTTGCAACGAGAGAGAGAGCATGTCGATCCAGTTCCATGCTTGCTCAAAATAGCTGAGCACTGAGCCATCCTTGGCAGCGCGGTCGACCATCTCCTGCAGCTCGCCACACACATTCCAGAGCAGCCCCACCAAGTAAATTATCTCCAGCACCAGCCGTGCGATGTTCTCCGCCGATGCATCGTACATCGCCATAGCTGCCGGCTGTGACTTGAAGGTGACTGCCATGCTGCCCCCCTCGTTCATTGTGCACCTCACAGTTGTCAGCACAAAAGTGAGCGTCTCGCCTGCCAACAGGGGGGGCGTCAAGGAGGCGAGTGAGAGGCGTGCATTGAGAGGCGTGCATTGAGAGGTGTGCATTGAGAGAGAGGCGGTGTACAAAGAATGTTGTAAGAAACGAATGGATGTGTTGAGTAGATACATTGCTCGAAGGTTGGTGTTACCACAAGGTAATTGAATACCATTGAAGGTGATGAAGTTGACGTCTACGCTGCGCGTGCCATTGTCAATGTAGCTGCCATCCACCAGGTAGTGTAGACGCCTTGTGGCCGCCTCGTTATCAAGATTAATGCCAAACACCAAAGGGTATGTCGTGAGAGACTCCTGCGGGAAAAGGTACGGGTCAACACTATTTTCGCCAAGACATCATTGGCTTCATCAATAACACACCACAAATGCAAGAAACAAGACAGCGCGAAGGCAAGGTAGCACGACAGCGAGGCAGCACAGCAGCAAGACATGGAGGAGCACAAGGCACTAGGGCAGCAAGGCAACAGGACAGCACATGAAACGGATGAGTCGGTCGTTTGCCTTGCTTGTTTTGAGACGTCTCAAAACTTGTTTTGCTTGTGAATTGGAGCACTTCACCGCACCTCTCTACACTGGCTGGCAGTGCCAGGCACTAATGCGGAACATAAACTTTGAAGGGGCTCATCATGAAGTAGATGAAGCCATTTACTCTTAGTACCAACCATATGGAACATTTAAGCACTTACTCTTACCACTAACCATATGAGTAATTTATGCACTTACTGTTACTACCAACCATATAGGTAAATAATGCACTTACTCTTAGTACCAGCAATATGAAAAAATATCGCACTTACTCTTAATACGAACCATATGAGTAAGTAACGCGCTTACTCTTAGTGCCAACCATATGGGTAAGTAATGCGCTTCCTTTTAGTACCGACCATATCGGTAACTTACTCTTAATACGAAACATTTGTGTATCTAACGCACTTATTCTTAGTATCAACCATATGGGTAAGTAACGTGCTTACTTTTAGTACCAACCATATTGGTAAATATCTTGCTTACTCTTGGTACCAACTAAAATGCGCTTACTCTTAGTACTAACCATATGGATAAGTAGCACGCTTGCACTGCTTGACAATGGTAGATAATGTGGAGAACATATCTTTAAAGGCACTGACCAAGGGGTAGATGAAGCCGTAGGGGAGGCCCTGCGGGTTGAACTTCAGCTTAAAGCCAAAGGTGTTGTTGTCGAGCTGGCTCAGGTTGGAGTTGGCAGCGCTGTCGTAGATGGCCGATGTGGGCAGGAAGTGCGGGTTCACTCCAAACGGTTCTGTGGACGTGCCGTTGCTGCACCACCCCCCAAGGTGCAGCAGGCTGGGGGGAGAGAGGAGGGAGGAGAGAGGGCGAGTAGAGGGGGTTGGGGGAGAGAAGGGCGGGTGCCGCTGTGAGCAATGGAGGGAGTGAAGTGCAAGTGTTGAAAGAAGGGCAGTCGGTGGCGATGTCACAGCGATAGGATTTGCTACAGCGACAGGATCCGACAAACATTGTGAAAACCTTGCACGCCATAGTAGACATGAGCAACAGTCAAAGCATGATGGCGCGACTCGTTGGGCCGGCCCCATCAAGCCGCGGCCAGCACGCGTTGGCTCCTTCGCTTGTGGAAGGTGGTCCAACGAGTGGCACCTAGCTCGGCTACCACCCTTGCGCATGCCTGCATGCATGCCCCTTCACGAGAGCCACTCACCCCATGCATGAGAGCCACTCACCACGCTCCGCTGCACTGCTGTGTGCCCCACCGATCCTGCTGCAGCACCATGCCAATCAACAGACTGGCATGGAGAAGATGGAAGAGGGGAGGGGGAGGAAGGCGATAAGGCAGAGGAGAGCGAGAAGTCGACTGTGGTGGCGAGCCAAGGTTTTGACGGATATGTCCTGTGCTGCTGCGAGGACGGGATGAATGAAAGTATAACAAAGTCGTGGAAAGGTATGGCGCTGCACAAAAGTGTCGCCCAACAGTGCGGCCAACTGGGGAGGCATGGAGGCAGGGGGCGGCGTACCGGTTGTGGCGAGACACGTAGCGTGTGGCCGCAAAGCCCCTCTTAGCCGCAAACACGTAGTTGCTCTCTGTGTAGTTGGGGCCGTAGCGCTGCAGTGAGAAGGGGAAGTTGAGATTGGCGCCCACCGCCGTCGACAGACAGCACGCTGGAGGAGAAAGGGGAGGAGCAGAGACGAGGAAGGGGAGGGAGATGAGGAAGAGAGAGTAGGATGGGAGGGCAAGCGTGAAGTGAGAACAGGAGGGAAGAGACGGATGGTGGAGCAAGGCAGGGGGCAAGAGGGTCGAGTGGAGGGGGGAGAGGGGTGACTTACAGCCGTCGTCGCGGCGGGTGTGGCCGGGCGGGCAGGCGCAGATGCCGGGGCCGAAGAGAGGGTCGACACACGCGCAGTCGCCACCGTCAAAGGCGCACGCGGGCGTGTTGCAGGGCGAATCACACACCCCGTTCGCCAGCCGCTGCAGCCGGCACCCTGGTGCACACTCGTAGGTTGTCGTGGTGTTGGTGGGGCCAGCAGTCATGCTGTTGGCAGCGGTGGGGTTTGTGGTGTTGGTAACGACCGCGGTGTTACTGACAAAACCTGCATTTTTTTCATGCGATGGAAAGCCAGGGAAAGGGATAGGAGATGTGGAGAGGAGGGGTAGGAGAATGATGGAAGAGAGGGGACGAGCTGTGAAGAGGGAGAGAGGATGGGGAGGATGGAGGCAGGAAGGTGTACTAGGATGCAGCAACTGGGAACGTTGAGGAGATAATGAACGGAGGGCGAGTGAATGCAGCTAAAAGGGAGGGCCCATGGAAGAGGGCGCATGGGAGAGCGCGCATGGGAGAGGGCGCATGGGAGAGGGCGCATGGGAGAGGGCGCATGGGAGAGGGCGCATGGGAGAGGGCGCATGGGAGAGGGCGCATGGGAGAGCGCGCATGGGAGAGGGCGTATGGGAGAGGGCGCATGGGAGAGGGCGCATGGGAGAGCGCATGGAATAGCTGAAAAGCACAAGAGAGATGAAACGCACACATGCAGTGCTTACCATTAGCATCCGCCCCAGCCATTGCAGGCAGCACTGTGAGAATGCTGGCGGACATGGAGGTGGGGGTGGGGGAGGAGGAGGGAGAGGCAGAGGAAGACACGGCGTCCCCAGCCGTGCCTGCCAGCGAGCCGTCCGCGTAGTGGATGGTGATGGGCTCTCCAAACACCTTGCTGTACGCAAAGGAACCCAACGGCTCGTCGTCCATTCCTGGTGGGGGAAGGGGTTGGGACGTGGAGGGGGTGGCGGGGGGTGTACAGGGTCGTGATTGGAGTGATGGGGTGCGAGGGTGATGCATGTGCAGCAGCAGGCCAAGATGTTGAGATGAAACGGAACAGACTACACATAGCTTGGTGAAACGAATTGTTAACCAGCGCGCAATACTGGATTGCACTTGATAGCTCACTGACCATGGCATGAGGAGGGCACTCACGTAGCACGCAGGGCACGGGGTCGTCACGCATGTCACCAGCGCCCACGTTCATGGGAGTGCACGCCATCTGCCGTGACACGGCCAGGCGGTTCCCCCCAAAGCCCACGAACAGTGGGTCGCCTGCTTCGCCCATCCCCGCCACTGGTGATGGTGGCATGGTGGTGGGGACACAAGGGTGTGGAGGCACAGGGGCGTGGAGGCACAGGGGCGTTGAGGCACAGGGGTGTGGAGGCACAGGGGCGTGGAGGCACAGGGGCGTGGAGGCACAGGAGCGTGGAGGCACAGGGGCGTGGAGGCACAGGGGTGTGGAGGCACAGGGGCGTGGAGGCACATGGGTGTGGAGGCACAGGGGTGTGGAGGCACAGGGTGGGGCATGAGGCAGTTTAGACCAGTGAATGGGAAGGTCGCATGGGGCACAAAGAGGACTTCCAGAAATAACCACAAAAACTCGTTTTCTCTACAAAGCAATATAGGCACGGATGTACACACGAGGTAGTGGCGCGAATGGGAACTGATAGAGATTTGAAGACAAAGATGTACCTCTGATGGAGTGTGGGAGGTCGTCATCCCACACCCAGGTGACTTTGTCGCCCACATGGATGGCCGTGTTGTGAGACACGCCTGCCCGCCACTGCAGCCACGCACCACCTGAAGGGAGACAGAGAGGGTTAAGGAAGTGCCTTCAGTCAAACATGATCTGTCTATGGTGCCATGAATGACAGCAACACTCAGACATGCACGTATAAATGCATGCACGCACGCAAGCATGCGCAAGCACGCACACACGAGCGCGCACGCACACGCACATGCACAAGAGCGCATCGAACACACCAACCACCAGGACCACCGGGCATGAGCACCTTGTGAGCAGCCGACAGAGTTGGAGTACATTAAAGGAGTACATGAGCGTGTTGAGACGCGCCGCAACCGCGTCTGGCATGGGCGTGACGGACCGCAGAGCCGCCACCATCGTTTGCACAAAGCGCCGCATGTGCTGCGCTGAGATCATGCGTCCACCGCTCACATGCGTGCGCTGCAGGTATGCGTACATCTCGCCACCCTCCACCACCGGCTGCCCTGCTTCATCTGTGAACCGGCACTCATCCAGCGTCGTCACAGGGCCCCCCAGCATCGTGCAAAAGCACGCCACCATACGCCACCGCACGCTGCCCAACCCTCCATGTGTGTGGTTGCTCGCTCCCGCCACTACCCTCGCCTCTGCTCCTGGAGCACGGCCAGCCAGGCAGCGGTCCTTAGCCATGGTGAAGAGAGCACGCGACACCGCCACCTGCAGCGCTGTCAGTCGCTGACGGTCGGTGGCACCAAGGAGCGACCAGAGAGAGGGTTGTGTGGGGTCTGCTGTGGCTGCCGTTCCCGCTGCTGCCATTGCTGCTACTGCTGCTGCTGCTGCTGCTGCTGGCGGTGGCAGGGCTGCAACTGCTGCTCCTGGTGCGCCTTGCACTGGCGGAGCGGGCAGAGCCACAGGAGCGGCATCAGCAGACGCAGCAGAAGCAACCAGCGAAGCAAATGCAGGAGGGGCGTCAGTGGGCAAGGCCGAGGAGGTCCAATCGTTGTAGCGGTGTGGGTGCAGGCGGCGGTGTGGGTGTAGGCGGCGGAGTTGTTCCTGGGCCTGAGAAATGACGGGCCATCAGTAGTGGGTTATGGTTCAGCGGAGACAGCATGATAAGGTGGGATTTTCAAGAAGTGCACATACGAACAAAGGGTGAACAGCTACGTGAAGGGAGCACGAGGAAAAGCGGAGAAGGAAGGCCACAAGGAGCAGCAAGCTAAGGGTGCGTCAGATCCGCTACAATGTGATTTGGCTGCAAATTTGTCGCCCTTTTGGTCAGCTCCTTTTTTCGCCGAAGTCGACTGAATGGTCGAATGCTAAACCGACCACCATCCAGCCACATTTACAAGGTGTTGAAATCTGACAGATTTGGTGGCCGATTTACAGGCCGGTTTGCAAAAGTGTCAGATTTGCAGGTCGCACAGTTGGCCGGATTGTGCGACGGAGTCGCACGTATTGTTACTGAAGTGACACAACCGCTATTGTGCACATTACGATCAGAGAGTAAAGATGTGAGCTGCGGCTCCATTTACAACCCGACTCGGCGAGATCGTGTCGTCTACCCGAACTGAGTGTGACGAGAGCATACAAAAACCGGAATGTCCCTACACTCTAGCCATTATCCAACATGGCGGACCCTTTCACACCTAGATGGGCACGACGTTTAGCAATCGGACTCACGCACGTTGTGCTCATCCCCTTGGTCGTGTCGCACTACACCAGTGTGACCCCGAAAAGTGGTCTGTTCAACGGCGCTGAAAGCGCCGTGCGAGTCGTCCTTGTGACACGTTGAGTCGCTTGGGTATGTTGGCCAAGTCGCATAAGTACTGTAGCGCTGACGAGTCGACAAAGTGGTCGACTCTCGATTTGTTTGCACGTCGGAAAGTTGTCGAATGCTAAACCGGCCATCAAACCGGCCATCAAAATTTTAGCAAGTGGCCGGATTGTGCGAAATTAACGAAATACCTTACGAATGTCGTGAATGTGTAACCTTCGCTAGATCCGGCCGGCCGGATGTTTCCGACCAACGGATCTGACGCACCCTAAGGGCGAGGATCCAAAAAAAAGGAGCAACAAGCAGAACGGAGCAGCAAGCAATGGTGAGCATCAAGCAAAGGGTGAGCTGCAAGCAAAGGTGAGCAGCAAGAGATGGGGATGGGAGGAGCACCTTTCGGCGGGCAAAACGAGAGAGGTGTCCCGTGGAGTTGACTGCTGGTTTGGAGGGCGTGTTGTGGCGAGAGAAGATGGGAGGGCGTGTTGTGGCGTGAGAGGATGGGAGGGCGTGTTGTGGCGAGAGAGGATGGGAGGGCGTGTTGTGGCGTGAGAGAAGATGATGGCAGAGAGTGGTGAGTCACGAATGAACGCCACAGCGTGCAGCAAGTGTGCGTGAGTCGAACGCACACACATGCTATACGGGACGACACTCAAGCCAACTCAATACAAAATGCAGGAGCGGGAGGGACGATACCTGAAACGTTGCAGGGGATGTTGGAGAAGAGTGTTGCGATCTAAGGCTGCAGGGAGCGGGGGATAGAGGAGGGCGGGGACGAGTGAGAAAGAGAAGCGCCCTAGTAATATAGGAGGCACTGGCGGTGAGTAGCCCGCAGGGCGACAGGTAGCAGGCCGTCTGAAGTGGTGCACTGCTTGGCAGTCTGATGTGGTGCACTGTTGGCAGCCACCCAAGGATGTCGAGGCATGCCAGGGCAGGGCAGAGAGGTAGCGCAGGGCAGAGAGGAAGCGCAGGGCAGAGAGGTAGCGCAGGGCAGAGAGGTAGCGCAGGGCAGAGAGGTAGCGCAGGGCACGAGGGCTGTGCGACACCACTGCTGGCATACCATGGGGCATGGCTGGTTGATTTACACAAGTCAATGAAATATCCAGTGTTGCAGGGGGCAGGACCAATTGCTCTATACAAGCATCAGAGACACGGGGCGCACGCAATGGGAGCAGCATGGAGCAAGGGGCGCACCATGGGGCAGGGAGTGTCGACGTAGGTGGTGATGGAAGAAGGTGCAACGATGCACATGCGCGCACAGTCCACAAACGTCCGTGCCACCTCCCGCTCCGTGAATGCTCGCCCACAGGTTGCTGGCAGGCAGAGCACCAGCCTTGCACATGTCTGCATGCAAACATACATGCACTCACACATGCATGCATACATGCATGCACGCATGCATACACACATGTACCCTTGCATGCACGCACGCATGCACAAACGAACGCATGCATGTGCACACATACACACACACACACACACACACTCACTCAATCGCATGCACAAAGTTTGATTGGCACATGTGATTGAAAGCATGCACACACTCAGCTCGAAATGACACACTCAGCTCGAAATGACACATTCAGCTCGGAATGACACATTCAGCTCGGAATGACACACTCAGCTCGGAATAACACACGGTGAAAGCTGAGTGTGGTCAACAGCACGGCACCTAGGTGCCATCCCCAACATTAGTGAGCCCCCTGTTCCTAGCGGCGGTAGTGTGTCGGATAGCAAGGGGCACGCGAAGCAGCGGCATACTCACATCACGGCAGACATCAGGCGGAGAACCACCAGCGCCGTCACTTGGCAGCGCCTGATTGGCTGCATCCACATCATCGTCGTGTGTAGAGTAGCCCCACGCGGCGAGCTCAATGGTGGAGGCGGTGCCGACGACGGAGAAGTGGCGCGTGCCCGGAGGGGGTGCGTGCACGGTGCCGCGGATGGCCCCCGCGGGCGCGTTGAGCACCACCACCCAGTCGCCGTCCGGAATGTCCAACGCCACTGACACCTTTGTATCGCCCACAGGGAATGGCTGAAACTCCTCGTACCTGATTGCACCGCACCGCATGGCCGACATGCATGGGGTGGCGTAGGGTGGGATGAGTACATAGGACGGGGACAGCAAGAAGATCAGAGCGGCGGGAGGAGGGCGCGCATACCAGCGGAGGGAGACCGGGTTGACCATGCAGAGGTTCTAGGAAGATTCATCAGCAGCCTGCTGTGTGTCGAGCTGAGAGGAGAGGCGGATAACAATGGAGGTGAGGTTGGGGAAGATGCCACAGTCCGCTTCACAGCCAAAGCGGCCAAACGCGGGGTACTGGAAGGGGCGGTCGCATGTGTCGGAGCCACACGTCGGATCCGCCCACAGTTTCTGCAGGGGCGGCGGGGAGAGCGGCGGGCAGTGAGGAGCGCACGGGCCGATGAGCGTGCGAGCCTTTATGCAGACAAGGGAGGGTTGTGATGCCGCGTGGGTGGGCGGAAGGTAGGCGTGGGTATGCGGGACGAAACACGCACCAAGTGCACGAGGAGCTATAACACAGAGATGTAGGAGAGAGGTAAGAGAACGCACCTGAATGATGCTGGTGTTGAGCCAATTGTAGAAGTCATCCGGGCCATCAAAGGTGTTGGACGAGTCCTGACGCATGCCCTGCTCTCAGGCAGGGAGAGGCGCAAGTAGGGCGGGAGGTGAGGAGAGGCGAGTGAGGGGAGTTGCGGCGAAGGTGCACAAAGGGGTCAGCTGAGCGGAGAGGGCGAGAGGCAGGGGCACACTGGGAGAGGTTCATCGCGAAAAGGGGAAGTGCGAAAAGCAACTAAAAATACACTCTCCCGCAACTTTCCCGATATTTTCTGCCCGGCACTTTCAAGTCAAGGTTTTAGAACTGCATGGCGACAGTCACTTACAAAGCAACCTCCCAGTCACTCTTCCGTCTCTAACTGTACACATTGGGGCAACTGACCAAGTATACAGTAAAGCAACATTTTCGTCAACTTTGAGCAACCTGTGCGAAAGTGTCATGACGACGCCACGTGGTGTATGCCGTACTCTAGATGAAACTCAGACACGCTGACTTGGCGATTATTGTACTCTACGACAACCGTCGGATTAGAATATGGGCCGACGCACGAGATACTGCGAAATAGACCAATCGTAGCCTGCGATTTGGTGTACACTAACAAATAACGATTGGCTGGCGATTTCTAGATAAATCCTTGCGACGCATTTAAATGACCCAACATTAGCAGAAGTTCTACTATAATATTTGTTTCTCTTTACAGTATACTGAGTATTCACAACGCACACAAACTGTACACATTCTTTTATTCTACACCTACGCCTAACTTATCCTGCATTGCTAGGTTTCTACACCTGCATCTCTGAAAGAAGTAAAACTCATCAAGGTAAGAAAATGTCAACTGGAAAAACAGACATGGACTTGTTAACACCAAACCAACATTGCGTTTCCAACACTTACCATTGGGGTTAGTAATAATGTAGAACGCTTCAATGTTGGAAAATATACATACTGCGATATTGGTTGACGATAAGCCTGCAATGACAGGTACACCCTGCAAAATACGCATCTGCAAAAGTCGAAACTTATACTCCTGCAAGAAAAAAAAGGTAAGCGAGAACGTTCACATCTCTGAAACCTGCACACACAAGGCTGCTGTTAAGCACGTCTACGAGCTTGCTACGGTAGGGTTAGTGATAACCAGTTCGTGATAGTCAGTTGCATCGCTCTAGCCACGGCAGTTAAGCATGGCGACAAGTGAGATGCTGCACACTGGTAGTCTCTAACAGAATGAAAGATGTAGATGCAAACGTCAGAAGGTAACATGACTTGAGACCGCAAACATGAGATATGGCGAAACCTTGAAAAACGTATACATCACCGAACGTGTTGCTAAGCTTCAATATTTCGCGACGCGTTTCATCCGCGAACGTGTTGTAACTGATCGACCTGGAAAGGGGAATGTTAGGGTAAATGGAAGGGAGAAAGTCCAGAATGAGTCAATGAAGTTAACTCTGCCGTGCACATGTTCACCACGGAAGGAGACGGAGAAATCGTCGGTAAATAAGTGGCATAATAGTGAGATTAACATGAGGACTTAGTTGTTAGGCGCAGGTACCAGGAGAGCGCTTCTGGTGGACGTTGAACAAAAATTGAACAAGGAGAGGTGTCTGACATAGGTCGTTGGTTTTAGTTCGCGAGGTACAGGTGTGGGGGAGAATCATGGGAGAAAGCTTTCCGCGGTGAAGGTGGACGTTTTTGGATGGTTGGGTGCGTATGCTGACGTGTGGATAACGGATGGTGTCGATTGATTGACTCTTCACAGCACAACCATGATTCGTTCAAATTGATTTGTTGGCTCACACGTCAGACCTCTGAAGAAACCAACTTGCGTTTGTGGGTTGGTTTGGGGGGTTGAGTTCGGAGTTGGGAGTAAACGAAACCGATGTTGTCGAAATATATTTGTCATGTTTTATAACTGCTTGTAGTTGTAGTTAGTGTAGTTATTTAAACTGTTGTTGGTGGTGCACCTTATTTGGTTTTTATGCTATATGTATCCTTGAACCTATAGTGAAACCATCACTTTTCTCCAATTCTCTCTCTCAACTCACTCGATACCTCGCCTAGGGTAAAACCTACTCACACCTTAGTTCGGGCCTAGGCTACTAAGCCTAGGCCCTTCCTTTCAACTTACCTCATATTTTGACATGGTATCAGAGCTAAGTACGACCTGGCCTGTGGGCCCGCCCTACGCTTCCGCTATGATTTTTCGGTCGCGCGCCTAGGGCGCGTGACGATTTTTACCTTGTCCCGCCCACGGGTGTGTGACTCCTACTCTGCCCGTCGCGCGCCCCGTGGCACGCGACGGTGCCCTTCAACTGCCCATCGTGCGCCCCGTGGCACACGATGGTGCCCTGCTCGTCGTGCGCCTCTAGGCACACGATCGGGCCCTCTTTCTTCTCCTACCCGTCGTGCGCCCCGTGGCACTGGCACGCGACGGGCCTTTCCGCCCCTGCTCTCCCTGAAGCCGCCCCTAGCCCATCTGCACCGACACCTTTTCTCCGCTCTGCGGCTTTCTTCCCGCCCACCCCCTCCTCCTTTGTCTCCCTGCAGCCGTGGGGAGGAGGGTATGGGGGTGGAGGGTGTTGGAGTGTTGGGTCACCTCTCTCCCTTCCCCTCCTCCTTCTTTCAGTCCCACCGCTGCAGCTGCCGCTGGGGGGGGAGGGTGTGAGGATGTGGGGGAGCAGGGGGAGTGGTACCGGGGTGGCGGGTGTGAGGCAACATGCAGCCGTCCCTCCACCACTCCTCACTTCCCCCCCTTCTCTGCTGCTCTTGCAGCAGTGTGGGGGAGGGGAAGGAGGAGGGTGAGGAGATGGAAGGGGTACCTGCTGTTGCTTGCTATTCTTTTGAATGGCGTAACTACATATCTACCTACAAGCATTATGGGGGCGTGTCGAAATATATTTGTCATGTTTTATAACTGCTTGTAGTTGTAGTTAGTGTAGTTATTTAAAATGTTGTTGGTGGTGCACCTTATTTGGTTTCTATGCTATATGTACCCTTGAACCTATAGTGAAACCATCACTTTTCTCCAATTCTCTCTCTCAACTCACTCGATACCTCGCCTAGGGTAAAACCTACTCACACCTTAGTTCGGGCCTAGGCTACTAAGCCTAGGCCCTTCCTTTCAACTTACCTCATATTTTGACAGATGTATCCACTTGTGCAACCTCGCTAAATTTCGTGAGGTCCTTCTGTTTCGTAAAATTTGATGTTACCCTGGTCATTGTAAATGTTAACCTGCCAAACCGCTTTCAAACTCTCTCGAACGCTCGAAACCGATTGACGCGAAAATGTTGACGGAAAAGCAATTTTGCGGTGACATTTCTCTGCAGGTATCTGCATTCGCCACTGGTGTACAGAATGTTGCGAATTTTGTGCGCTGTTTTTTGGACACTGTGCGCAACTTGTATGCAAGGTTTACACAGAAAAGCCTTTGGAGGCCAAAAATCACAACTTTCCTTTTTCGCGATGTTACGCGTGCAAGAGTGCATGCGCGCAAGAGTACATGCGCGCAAGAGGTGGGGAAAAGCCCGGAAATTGGGAGCATACAGGCGGGTAGCACACGGCGGCGCGCTAGCATGAATTAGCATGAATGCACGCCAGCATGAATGCGCGCCACCATGAATGCGCGCTAGCATGAATGCGCGCTAGCATGAATGCGCGCCAGCATGAATGCGCGCTAGTATGAATGCGCGCCAGCATGAATGCGCGCTAGCATGAATGCGCGCTAGCATCAATGCGCGCCAGTATCAATGCGCGCTAGCATGTTTGCGCGCTAGAATCAATGCGCATTAAAATGACTGCTCGCTAGAATGAATGCGCGCTGGCATGAATGCGGGCTCGCGTAAATGCGCGCTTGCATGAATGCGAACTAGAATGAACGAGGGTGCGCTAAAATGAACGCACGTTGGAATGCATGAGCGCTAGAAACCATACGCGCAAGAGGTGTGGAGCACACAGTAGGGGAGGCAAAAGAAGCCGTGGGAATGTGGGGGATATGGGGGAGCATGCGGGGGGGGGGGGGGGGGGGGGGGGAGGGGAGAGCATGGAGTGGGGCAAGGGGGGAGCATACGGGGGGCAAGGGCACGGGGTGGGGTAAGGGGAGGCGCATACGGGGGGTAGAGCATGGCGTGCGCGGAGGTAATTTCGTAGCTTCTGGAGGAGTCGGCCTGGAGGTAAAGGATGGTGATGAAGAGTGCCATGAGCACCACGAACCCGCCCAGGTCGCGGTAGTGCTGCACGCGCTGCTGCAGCGCCACCACGCGCACGAACGCCTCTGCCACGCGCGCAGAAGTGGGAAGGGGGCGGGTAAAGGACGGGGAGTGGGAAAGGGTGTTAGTTACTATTAGCCCTTAGTCTACTCTTATGCGCACCACTTAAGTCACACTAAGTGATCTCCACCGGGTCTCAACCTCGGGTCCACGGTTCTCCAAGTGTTTACGCACTAGAGTAGTCCCACACTTAAATGCGCAGCGTCTTGTTCATCAACTATCTCGTCTCCACAAATACTCTTCACATCAATACGATGAAAGAGGAACCCTTTCTCATGAACGTTTAAGATCAAAAGGTTTTCAAAAGGTTGATAACAAACAAGAACAAACAAAGATTTATACTAAGCCACCGAAATCAAAAGCATTCAGCCCACCGAAATAATACCTGGAAACATACTTCGAAATGCCAGCTTTCACCATGCGAAATTAGTTGAAACATGATCGCCCATACTTGTTCCTATGGGCCATACTTGCTCGCGAAAGCTCGTGGACACTCGTCGACGCTCATGGCGACAGCTCATGACAGCTCACGGAAACACCTGAGGATTTCGCGAAGTTACATGACGAAATTACGAAGTCGTCGAAATCCTCCTCGCACAATTTGCACCTGCGTCGAAATTAATCGCGCACTTCGTGAAACACCCTGGCGAATTCTCTCCTCGGATAATGCAGACAAAACACTTGAGGGCCCCACGAAATCCAACATGGACCCTCGATTTCTCGGCTTTTTCCCTCGCGCCACCTGCACACCCCACTTGCGCGTGTGGCTAACCCATCTGCAACCTCAGGCCTCGCGT